GCTAAAGTCTTATGTTATAGAAACGACAGAATTTTCTGGAAATCACACAGCTGAACGAATTGTCGATAGATTAGAGAGTGTGTGCATCGATTGGGCCATTCTTGATAAAGTGGTCTGTCGCGTCTCGGATACTTGAAATGTCATGCGAAAAGTAGGAAAAGAATTTTCCAAAGGTAAGTGCGCGATAGTAGACAAGTACATTATATTTCTGAGTCATTTTTAGGTTGGTTTGGCTGTACGAATCATATACTTAATTTATGTGTGAATGACATCGTTCGAAATCGAAATGAAGTGAAGAATAAGCGTGAAACAGTTCGACATATTGTTTCTTTTGTACGAGACAGTCACTTGGGAAGGGAGACGTTGAATAGATATAAAATTTCGTTCGGTAACAGACGAGCAACACATTTCGTGTATACACGGATGTCCTCTCTATTAGGTTTGATCGAGCGACAACTGACTTATGATGTTATCAAACGATGGAATAGCACATTTTATATGTTAAAAAGATTTATCGAAGAGAAAACTTCGATTTCTGCATATCTAAACGAGAAATCATTCAAAAAGAATCTTGCCAAAGCTAAAATTACGAATAATATCGATTGGGATATGCAAGAGCAGTTGATGGTAGGGTCACATAGAATTCCACTATCATTAGTCTTTTTTTCAGTTAGTGTTAGAACCTTTCGAAGCAGCAACGAGAAAACTAGCACTTGATTCTCTACCAACTATGGCAATCGTTCTACCCGTCATCACGACACTAATCACAAGTCTTGAGGGTGGAAATGTTGAATCTACAGTGATCACGCAAATCAAACAGGGGCTACATTGCTCACTGGAAGAAAGGTTTAAAAAAGCGTTCGACGATAAAATAGTGAGAATTAAAAATGTAAATTTTGAAACAGTATTGAACCTATTTGTCTTAGGTATTACTCGCAACGATCCTCGATCCACGCTGGAAGAATTTTACTTTTCTGCAGAGTTCATCTTATCAAAACCATCCCAAAACTGCTGCATCATTAACGAAATTAAATGCATTTGATGCCAAACTACTAGCATATATCCACTTGCACGATGAACATCTGTTGGGTATGTCCTCAACCAGAAAGTCATATGAATCGGATTCTGAACACAATGTAACATCTCAAAATATATTGGATTTTTTGGACATGATGGTTACTACTCAACCTGTTACAAATAGTGTCGGTACGGATCCGGAGTATTCTATGTATGAGAATGAGAGAGAAATTTCTCGCAATGAAAATCCGATAGAATGGTGGCGCTTAAACAAGCACAAATATCCGTGATTATCGCAATTGGCGTTCAGACACTTATGTATTGCTGCANTGCAGTTATCGTCTCTGAAGTTTGTATTCTTCCCGAAGCAGATTTATCATCGTTATTGGTATTTAACGTTGGTGAGACGTTTGAGCATTGTTGATATTAACTGGCTCTTGAAGAACTAGTTGACAGATAATATAGGTTCCATTTGCATTGTCACGCTGGTAGCGTCGATCAATGATCGACTTCGAGTGATCAACTTGTTTCGTTAGAGCAATATAAAACGATGTTGATATTTAGTATTTTTCACCAAGGACAAATTTTGTTTATCTATAGTATTACTTTTGTTCGTGTGTGTGAGTTAAAATCGAATGCAGCCTTCGTATTGTCTATCTTGGTCGATTCTCCTTCGAATACGTGTAGAGAAAAAAAAATACAGGTATGTACGTATATATATATATCTTTGACGTCAATGCCCACTGATTGGAGAGGACACAGATCAATGATCACCTCTGTTTCTCTCCATCTATTAACTTTTGTATATGATAAAATACTTGATGAAAAATGCTTCTAATCGTGAGAAAGGAGTAGAGAAACGAAAAAACGGCTAAATCACGACTTAGTTTTATGGCCTTTTTCGTCCACAAAATAAAATAATGCCTGTTAGTTACACGTCTATATGTTGATCTCATTTCAGGGCTGTGTTTTGAGTCAATACAGTAAAAAGTAAAGAATGACGAAAAACATCTGTTCCCATATAGTTGAGTCTTTCTGTGCGCTCAAAAGAAAGTCGGTTCGATCGCATGAAATAACATCCCGCTCGTCAAGTTTCGAACATTAAAATTTTTTAGTGAAGAATACTTGAATAGGCTTCTAAATGTAATTTTTCAAGTTGACGGTGAATCTGTCTTCGATTTTGCAGAAGAAGCACATTTCGAACTTTTTAAGTGAGAAAATGCTTCAGAAAGTACAATTTTTTTTTAAAAGCTGTGTTTTGATCGGGTTAACATAGTAGGTTCTGACCACTTGACTTTATGATCGTTTTTCATTAGCACATAGCGTACTAGGATGGAGGAATGTAAACAAATTCTGACATAGAGCCTAGAATAGTTTATCAAGAAGGGCATTCTCTCATAAAGTGGTTTAATTATTCGAAGTGGGGTGCAATTGATTGCCTTCTATGATTTTCATTAAGCTTATGCACTGGAGCCATGGATTGGAGAACTTCTTCAAAAACATACCGTCTATTTGAGCTCATAATTTGCTTCTGGGTAGGACTTACTATAGAAAAACGCCTTATAAAAGTTCATGCACAACTTCTCTTTTTGTTGAGATGCTGTGTTTGAGCATATTTGAATAGCTCATTGCCGCGGTTCCCTTCAGAGATATAAGAAAAGTTTATTTTCGAGTTTCGATTTGAAATTTTGTACAGAGAGAGAAATCCTAATGAGAGTAGTTCACTGTGAAAATACCAGACCTATCCCTAGCTCCTGTCGAAAGATATAATTAAAATAAATGAATGTCACGAATAAAAAGCGATGAAAAGATCAAAATTTGTCAACGCGTTACGCTGCACTATTTGAATGGCAGCTCATTCTTCAATAGAAGTTTCTCCATTGGAGATGGAGAGCTCATAAAAAGTTCGCTTTATGCACCGAAGTTTTAGAAAAAAAACTTACAAGGCGTAATGCCCAGACAGAAAATTTTCAAAAACACGCCGAAACACGCGTCAAATTCTAATGCAAAAACAATTCGGCAAACCGCACCCTTTTGGGATTTCTTCTTCGTCGGATTTTCTGCGCGGAATATGGCTTTTGAAAAACACACAACTTTTGTCCTTTTCGATCAACATTATTTACCCACCAACTAATTTACTTTTTTAGTTAGTTATTACACAATCTACCCGTTTCCACCAGTAATCATTCCACTCCTTGCTACGACTAGAACATCAAGTGAGTTTGAACCATGCCAGATGTAGGACAAGTACACGTATACAAAGTACACGTACAAGTACTTGTACGTGCATGGCTATACCTGTACTTGTACTTGTACTTCTAGTAGAGTAGGGGTGGACCATTTAATTTATTTCTACTTCGCCTGCTAGGAAAGTTTTTAACTTTCACAGGGTCTTACGACTGCTTTCGAGCAGTTGTAGGGGACGCCCCTGGGCTGCTAGTAGCCACACGTCTGGTCATGAGGCTAGCAATCTCTAGCTGGACATTAAACAATCCTTGCTAACGAAAGGAAACATTATAAGTGCGTTAATGCACAAAATCATGTCTTCTTCGGCAGATGGAACGTTAGATCTTGTACAAAGCAATCAAAGAGGGAAATAATAATCGAACANAGGAGGCCACGGCGTCCTGTATTTGTCAATTGTTTTGAATATGCTACATCGGTCGTATAGCGCTTGAAGAAATAGTGAAAAAAGTGTGAAAAACTCCTCTGCATTGAAGTTATAAACGAGCGCGTTCCAATATTCGAACGTAGCAGATAGAAAGAAGGTAAATAAGTTCCAATTTGTTTGACGGAAAAAAGCATTTTTATCGATCATAATAGGTGCTTGAAAGAGGACTGGCCAGTGATCAGATGTACCGTCGTGTAGCACTTCTGAGTTCCAACCAGTAGCGTCTTGCGTAACTCCGAAGTCGATAATAGCATCTGAACGACGTGAGGTTGCTTTTTCTGGCTTGATCATCTCGTTCCCAGTTTCCTCTAACCAATTGAATAGGTGAGTTCCGCTTGTATTGTTCTCTTTGCAGCTCCACGTAGTGTGTTTGGCGTTGAAGTCGCCAAAGATAAAGAATTCTTTGTTTTTGTATTTGTTGAAGATATCGAATGGTGGTAGCGATCCCGGAGGGACGTATATTGCTGCGATAGTGATCGGTTCAGAAGCTGTTTCAACTTCTATTGCAAGAAAATTGAGTTCTTTGTCGACTAATTTGCATCTTAGTGAATTGTCGTGTAATATCGCGACTCCACCAAAGGAGTTCGTTCCGATTTGCGATATTCCCGTATAGCCATTGAACTCGGGAAGCTTTCTCGTTGCGGCACCAACTCCGGTGAGGATACATATATTAGGCTTGTGCTCGTTTAAAAGTATGTCAACGTCTGGTATGTGTGTATTTAATCCCTCCACATTGTATAGGAGGATTAGTAGACCGGAATCATTAGAAGCAGCGGGGCGTTCCTTGCGCCATTTCGTGCATAGGTCGGATACACATGTTCGAGCATTCCATTCGCTGATCATTTGCGTCAGTATACGTTTTTCAGTAGGAGAGACAGAAAATGAATTACATACATCTATAGAAATACACGGCTCAGAAAAATAGAAAGCTTTATTCATTACCTGATGATAGAAGTTCGATGCCGCGTTTCATCATCTGTGTGTTCTTCTCGAAATAGTTTAATAATTCCAATTGTTTCTGTGTGATAAGTTCGTGTTGGTTGTTGATGTATTCGATTGATGAGTGCACTTGCTGTCCTAGAAGTTCGATGTTGTTTTTTTGGATTGGATCTGATGCGGACTGCGTGGTTTTTGCGGCAAGTTGTTGGCAAATAGTTAGTGCGTTGGTTACCATTGGGACAACTTCTTTGATAATTGCAAATAACGAGTTTAAACTTTCGTGCTGTTGTTGGACTTGCACCGATATCAGTGAGAGAATTGAACCTAGCTTCAATTGTTGTTCCTTGAGTTTCATTGTGAAGGTCTGCTCTTGTTGTTCGTACTTTTTCTTCAGAGTGTCAAGCTGGTTTTGTGTTTTACGCATTTCATTCCATAGAGCGCTAGAATCTGTATGTGGGGAAGACCATTTCATCGATGATGGATACATGTTGCTCATTCCGCCTTCAAGTTGTGGCCATTCATTTTCTTGGTATAAGTAGTTCCGTTCGTTTTGCTGTTGTTGTCTTTGCGTTTGTGTGTTTGATGTATTGTTTGTTAGTATATGGTTGTTTCTTTGATTTTTGTTTCTAAGTTCTGTAGGTATAAATAGTTGTACGTTGTAAGGTAGAAGATCAGGTCGTTCTTTTAGTTGTTCAATCAATTGACAGCGAAATTCGTTTATATTTGGACATTGGAATGATGTTGCTTCATGTTCACCCTTGCAGTGATGACATTGAAGAGTACATGCTATATGTTCACCTTGCTTTCGGTCGCCTCCGCATCTTCTGCATCTTTCGTAGTTTAGCATACAGTTCTTCTTTATATGGCCGGGTGTGTTACATTTAGAGCAGATCAGCAATCTGGGTGGTGCTAAGAATTCAGCAACTTCGATAAGTTGACCGGCTATTGCTAGTGCCTCGCCGTCGAGTAGTTGAGTGTATTCGTTGTGGTCTGTTAAGTCTAGCCGTATGTGACGGCTTTTGTTTGCCCGTGTACCGCGCATTTCATCAATTTTGAAAACCGATCGAAGTTTCGATTTTACTTCTTCTTCCAACTCTTCAGTTGTAATATTGTTTGGCACGAATTTGAGTATGACTGAGCATTGCGGTGGTAGACGTTTTGGTGGTACCGGATGGACACACGTGTTTGAAATTCTGTTTGGATAGTTTGATCCATCACAGAGAAAGACGAATAATTCGATTTTCTTTGTGAAACACGATAGATTTCCGTCGCGGTCAATGTACCAATAGTCGAAGGCCACTGGTTGAGAATATTTTGGATTCAGTTCGATAAATTTCTGGTTAATTTTCGAAAGGAGTTCTTTGAGAAGACTTTTGGCTTCGTTTTCATGTTTTATTTTTGGTTCACAGATCACCTTAATGGGTGGAAGATGTTGTTCGATTGCGTAGTGAAGGGTTTGGTCAGTTATATGTATTTTTCGTGCATTTGGTTCATACAGCTCCGTGTTTGAAGAAGTTAAGTTACCCTGATTTCGTTCTGCATCTTCGTTTGGTGTAAATGTACTGCGTGGTTGATTAGGACCTGGGTTTTTATTTAAATTTGTGTTTGAGTTGTTATTAATGTTAGTATTTTTCATATTTTTTAGTTGGTGTTGGCTGTCACGGTGATTCATCCCTTTATCATTTCGATGATTCATCTGGTTAGCCGTGTGGATTAAACTACCATTCACGAATGTACGAGATACATTCGTCGTTCTCCTTCTGTTCTTTGTACTCTTCGCAAGCTGCCATTGTTCATCAGACATGACATTTGTTTCATTGTTTGGTTCATGTGAATTGGTATTTTGTGTTTTATATTCTTTTCCAGTACTGCGCATTATTTTCTTCCTTTGTTCAGACGTTTCGTCTGTGTCTAGATTTGGCTCTGCGTTTCCGATGACTTCTTGTTCATTTGGGTGTGTCCGTTTGGGTGTTCGATTGCTGTCTTGGTGCTTACTTCGTAAGTTGTATGCACTCACTCTTTGTATAAATTCTTCGCCTTCTACCATTTTATCTTTTTCTTCTGTTGTCTTGGTTGCATATGCATCGTATGAGGACATTTTGATTATTGTTTCGACTTTATAATTGACGATTATTAATAAATTTGTACGTGGATTTGTTAAGTGATGACACGTTGTATATATATTTCTTCACATTTACATATGAGTCATTCCACGTAAGCCACGCCCGAAATGCATAGACAGCTGCTCAATTGAGGTTCCCAGATTTGTCTCATTTTTTTATATGTGATAGAGGACGGTGTTTGATGGATTGTGGCGCAAGCCGATTTGCTAAATCTTGGTTCCTTCGGATTTTATGAGCATTTTACGAAGGCGCTAAAAAATGGAAAAAATAAAAATTGGGGATACAAATTGGCTAATATCTCACGAACGGCTTGGCCGATCCAGCTAAAATTTTCTACAGATATGTACCCTAGTCAGTTGCACTCGCTGTAAAATTCTCAGCCTTAAACCATTGGTGGATGGATTTCTGGAAGTCTTCTACGATTTGCGAAAGTCAATTTTTGCAAATCGATTTTCTCCCAAGATATGGTCCCGTTTGGGCTCGGGCTTTCATAGTTGGGTAGTACTAGGCCTGGACTACAAGCCCAGAAAAAATCAGCCTGGGATCTCTGGAGACGGCTGAGAACAGGGGCCGCCGCCTGCTAGGAAAGTTTTTAACTTTCACAGGGTCTTACGACTGCTTTCGAGCAGTTGTAGGGGGCGCCCCTGGGCTGCTAGTAGCCACCCGTCTGGTCATGAGGCTAGCAATCTCTAGCTGGACATTAAACAATCCTTGCTAACGAAAGGAAACATTATAAGTGCGTTAATGCACAAAATCATGTCTTCTTCGGCGGATGGAACGTTAGATCTTGTACAAAGCAATCAAAGAGGGAAATAATAATCGAACAATTGAAAAAATATCAAATACAAATAGCCGCACTAAGTGAAACATGTATGTTTGATTCTGGTGTAAAATTAGTAGGCGATTACACCATGCTTTATTCAGGTGCATCACACGACAGAAAAACACGAAAAGCTCATGGTGTGGCAATCTGTCTCAACCCGATTGCCACAAAGGTTTGGAAGGATTCAGGGAGTGAATGGGTACCAATAAATGAACGAATTATAAAAATTCGACTCTACTGTGCACCAGTACACATCACTGTTATTGCAGTCTATTCTCCTATCAATCCAATAACTAAACAAATGAGTGATGAAAGTGATAAATTCTATAACGATCTACAAGATACATTGAGTGATGTATCAACAAAAGACATGATCATCATTATGGGTGATCTAAATGCAAGAGTTGGCGATAATAAGCAAAAACGACATCAACACGTGAAAAGAAGCGGTATAGGACCATTCACAGTCGATATAGAAAACGAAAACGGGGCAAAACTTATCGACTTCTGCGAGATTAACAACATCATAATCTCTAACACATTTTTCGAGCATAAATTAATGCATCAAACATCGTGGATGCATCCAAGAAATAAAAAATGGCACATGATTGACTATGCACTTGTAAATAAAAAGTTCAGATCAAGTGTTGAAGATGTTCGAATGCTAAGAGGGGCAACAGGTGCGATAGGGACCGATCACCATCTAATGCGTGTCAAAATTAAAATACATCTGAAAAGCAGAAAGAAAAATGCTAACAAGAAGAAAATAAACGTCGATAGTACTAAGCTAAAAGATGACCAATTACTAGAGGCGTTTCAAAAAGATCTTCAAAGCATATTGGCTGATAAGGCAAAAGATGACGGAATTAGCATTGATCAGAGATACGAACAATTTTTGTCGCAAATACAAGAAAAGGCTAAATATCATTTTCCTGTAGACAAAAATACAAACCGAAAAAGGAAAGAATGGTTAACAAACGAGATCCTAGAAGTTATTGACCAAAAATCAATAGCCTTTGTTGAATGGCAAAATAATCGTGGCTCGAGTATGGAGTTCAAATGTCATAAAAACTATAAACGACTCAGAAAAATAGTAAAAAAAATGACAGAACACCGTCAAGAAATATACTGGGATGAACTATGCGAAAACATAGAGAAATCGATCAAAAATAATGATCCTATGACGGCTTTTTCCATTATTAGACGTCTCAGAGGAGGAAGTAAAAGAGACGAAAACATGCCAGTACAAGATAAAAGTGGTAAACTACTGGTAAATTCAAGAGATACCTTGAATCGTTGGCGTGAATTTTTTTATGATACTCTCAACGTAAACTCATCTATTGATCAAAATCTTATTGATCTAATCGAAATTCCGACTCTATCAATAACAGAAGAGCGGCGGCAAAATGCTTCACTGTCTATTGAAGAAGTGAGGAAAGCATTAAGTCAGATGAAGTCTAGGAGAGCTCCAGGTAGTGATGAAGTTACAGTTGACATCCTAAAAGCTGGTGGCGAACCAATAATACATTGGCTGTTCAAATTCTTTACTGACATATGGAACAGCGAACAGATGGTAAAGGAATGGAACATGACAACCCTAATCAAACTGTACAAAAATAAAGGTGATAGGAAAATTTGCGACAACTATAGAGGTATTGCATTATTGAATACAACTAGCAAACTGTTCTCGCGTATTATACTTAATCGTATACAGAATCTAATAGATGGCCAACTATTAGAAATACAATCTGGTTTTAGGTCAAATAGATCGACTATAGATCAGATATTCACTTTGAAAATGACAATGGAAAAAAGAAAAGCATTCAATAAGCCATTATTTATGTGCTTTATTGATATCACGAAAGCCTATGACTCGGTCAATCGTGAACTCTTATGGAAAGTATGTCGTAATTATGGCATTACTGATAAATTGGTTAACCTATTAAAAATGCTATATAAAGATTCAATAGCAAAAGTCAAAATAAATGGGGAAATGTCGGATAGTTTCGAAATGAATACAGGTGTGATGCAAGGAGGTATTCCTTCTCCAATCTTATTCAATATTCTATTCGACTTCATCATAAAAGAAGTCATTAGTGAAGCTGCGATATCAGGAGTAAAATTTTCATATGGCAGTAATGATTTCTGTCACGGGAAAAACGAAAAACATGTTGACTTCGATATTTTAGCATTATTATATGCAGATGATCTCGTTGCAATGTGTGAAAAGATCTCGGTCGTAGGAAGTGAGCCAAAGGCGTGAGCCAAAAAACTGAGGCTCACTTCACATTGCGAAAAAGTACATCAAGAAAATTTTATTTTCAATAAAATCCTTTCACACCAAGCATGATATACACAATGATCAACTTTTCGTCATATAACAAATAATGAGCCGGTTAGAGAGTAGTTATCAATTACATAATTCTTTATTAACTAATTATTAACCGACCGTTAACTGCCTCTGAAATATTAATACATGGAGAAATCCTTGACTATGATGTAATTTGATGCACTGAGCTATCCAACTACCTATCCATCTATCTATACATCTGTCTGCCTCTGCATCTAGCTATCCACCTACCTATTTATACATCCACCTATCTATACATCTATCCATCTATCCACCTATCTATCTATCCATCCACCTTGACATCTATCTGTCTGTGCACCTAGCTATCCACCTACCTATTTATACATCCACCTATCTATAGATTTATCCATCCACCTTGACATCTATCTGTCTATGCACCTAGCTATTCACATAGAGATATGTCTGACTATGCATCTAGCTATCCACCTACCTATCCAACTATGTATACATCTACCTATATATCTGTCTATCTATGCACGTAACTGATCGTGAGGGTTAGGGAGAACTAAGCGTTGACGTACAAGTCGTTCCAATCGATTCGACGTTCAAAAACTACCACAATCGACTTCGGAAGAAGAGAAAAGGGTTTGACTGCTACCAGGAAAACCTTTGTCAGTGGCAGATCACATCTGCAGTCGGACATACAAAGCCCGGTTGCTTTCAGCTTCAACTGTAAGGTAGTCATATTTAAAGCACGACAGTGGTTCATTTATAGGTATTATTAAAATCGAAGTATCTAGTATTTTTGAATATTGCTTGCACATGTTGATCAGTACTCCATGCGACAGTTGCCTTTCTAGCTCTACTATATGCAAGACAAGCCCACAAAATATGACTATTTCTTTAGTTCTTACACAGCAATTGATCCTCGTTTTCAGTACATATTAATATCGTCAAAATCACTCGCAAGTCGAACATCATATTCTTTTTCGCCAATAAAATAGCTAAACAGCCTCATACTGTAATCGTCTGTACTTTTCCTCCTTAAACCTAAGAGGACATCTTAATAAAGATTTCAAAGAAAGCTGCACTTCTCAACATTCTGGGTTCATAGCTACGACTAAATACATATCTACTTCAGGTTAAACAAAAATATCATGACCGTCATTCTTGATAGAATCCGACAGACAGTTCGAACATACTTTCGACAACACCTGCCCAGTCCCAAAAGCACACAGCAGTATCCGACTGCACATTCACACATGCACGACAAGATTTCTTCTTAAACAGCTCCAACAATCTCCACAATATATTTACGGTCACTCAGTATCTCAACTAACGTCAACATTGACACGTCCTTACGTCGTTGGTCAATTTCGCTAAGAGAAGCTCATCTGGGTAGATGAATCCAGCGATCAACATATCAGTGGATAGAGAGATAAAAGCATTCGCAGGTGGATAGACACATACGGATGTGGGCCAATGCATCGACATGCAGATAGATAAGTTGTTCGATGTGTAGTTACACAGAGAGATTGTCTACCTCGATGGATGGATTGGTAGTTGGATAGCTACGTAAACACATGGATGTGTAGATAATTACATATATAGGTTCACAGACAGATGTATATGTGGATGTACACATAGTTGGATAGATAGGTTCATAGAAAGATGTTTAGGTGGATGTATACATATTTGGATTGGTAGTTGGATAGGGTAGGTGCATAGATAGATATACAGATATATAGGTTTATAGTTATATGTATAGTTAAGTACACACATAGATGGATACATGTATTGGTAGGTCGGCGGATAAGTGGTCATAGGAGCAGCATAAAAATATGATTGTAGGAATAGTTAAATATTGGAATGGGTGAATAGAGTAGGAGACACATAGATTAGTGGATTGCAGATGAATGTGTATGCAGGTAGTTGCGAAGATATAGCGATGAATGAATAATGTGAAGTGTATAGCGATAAGTTGGTATATACGGGAAAGAAATATTATCTTATCGATGATTTAAAGAAGTTGCTGTATGGATGAAAATATAGGCATTTATATACGTAGAAAGCGGCGCGGATAAATGATGCCACGGATCTGTTGGAAGGAACCTGAATAAATGTATAATTAGATTATACATGGTGAAAAGATGCGCATCGATGCTGTTTAGTACACAGTCGAACGATGATACATATAAATATTGAGTAGCATGCTTGGTAGGTAAACAGTATTAAAAAGAAAAACTCAGTGGCATGTTGTACCTTTTGTTTAGTTGTTGGTAAAAATTGACTTTCATCTTATTGAAGACATCTGACATGTGAAGTAGAGAGATAGAGAGACTTGAAAGATTGTATAGATATATCGTGATGTGAACACGGCACGCCTACTCGTAGACGTTGTGATGAATAGCATGGATAAGAATTGTGATCTCATTTCACATTGTAACGAGTATATCAAGAATATATTGTATTATTAAATACCTATCGTATTTTGTGTAACTTCAATTTAGTGACATAACCAGTAGAATTGAATTTGATATTGTTCAATGGAAAAGCTTGAAGTAAGATCACTGTTTTTGAAAAGTAATTTTTGCTTCTAGGTTGTATATGATTGGATTAGATATTGTGGGATTGAAAAGCGATACCTATCTGATGTCTAGCTTAAACATGTGAGCTATGAAAACTTATCAGAAGGATGCAGTATTCTTGTAAGTAATATTAAGATGTTTTAGCATCTTGAAAATCAGGTTAACTGTGCACGAGATAGCTGGTGTGTTTTATACGTATAGCCAAAATCATGCGCGTCTGTTTACATCTCAGTAGAACAGTGTCTACATATGGGTCAAACCAGTGTAAGAAAGCACAAATTGAATCTCAACGAATTTTATTTATATATAACAGACAGCACGAGAGTAAATAATGTTTTATGAATACGACGGAATTTTACATGTGCGTTTGCGTGAAGGAGGAAGATTTTCGATCAATCTTCCTACTTCATTACTGATTTTATCAGCATGGCGCTTCTTATCGGTTGTCTTCTTTCGTTTCGTACGGCATTGCATGTCTTTGGACGCATCAGCAAGATGATCTAAATCATAATATTCTGTTGGATTAATACAACAAAAACCCATTATAAACTAACCTTCATCCGAATGTAACCCCATTTGATTATTATCAAGTTGTAGGCTACGCAACGCGGTAGAATGTTCATCGATTGGTGAGTCTACTTCTTCATTTCGTGACTTTTTCAAAGAAGAGCTCTGTTCATCAGCATCTTCTGATGAACGTTTGTTTGTCTCCGTTGGTTCATCATTATCTAATTAAATTCAAGAAAGAATTGGATCTATTTGTCAGATATCGCAACGATTGAACGTACTGGTATCGGTTGAGGAATGATTAGGTGATTGATCAACTTCATGAACTTTATCGACAAAATTGATTTGACTATTGAGAGAATGATGAGAACTTTCGGTTTGATGAGACAAATCACTGTTCAAATCATTATCTGTAAAGATCAAAACGAAGTTGAGATAGTGCATGTATAGAACGACGATGTATACCTGGAATGAATTGAGATGATGCTGTGCTGTCAATTTTAGCAGCAACAGTGAAACGTTTCTTATTGTCGATGTTCACTTCTTGAACTACTCCGTCCGCAATCTTTGATTGTAATTGTTTTAGAAAATCCGTTTGATTAATAAATAAATGAAAAAATGGAACATAATCGATATCTTTCATAATAAAGTCAATTGCATTCTGATTCAAACATATTTTAGATGGAAGAACAAATTCGTGGAAATTCTTTTCATATTCTTCAATATCGATATTCATTGATTTTATTGCAAGAAGAAGAGTTGAGTCTGCACGAATGGCACATGGTGAGACTTTTGCGTATGATTCCTTTTTACAATTGACGATAAAATAACCAGATACTAATAAACGCAGAGTCAAAAGTTTTTCAACGACTTCGTTGACAAGTGCGGTATTATTCTTGAATAAACCGGAATAAGGTACTCCAACAACATGGTTGGTAAACCACGATTTTGAAATAAATGGCGTGGACATTGTCAATAAAATTTGCTTCTCGGTCAAAGACACATTTCTATAAGGTAGAAAGTAATGAATACATAAACAAATATATCAATACAACTTACGAAACGATATGCAAATCAGATTCATTTGGTTTACACAAATCGATTGAAGATAAAGCGTTCGACGAAACTTGTTGCTCTTGAGTAAATCGTTCCGTATCGTTCGAATTAAATAAATTCAATGCAGTTTTTAACGAATATTCATAGAGAAGTTTTCCAGCTATAACAGATGGTTTTTTGATTGGTAAAATCACACGATTCTCATATGTTCCCTTTGCCTGTTTCTGTTCAAATTTCTTGTCTATGAGACGATCCGCTGCAGCGACAAACTCATTCAACTGATTCAAATCAATATTTTTATTAATATGAAGTCCGTTGTCAAATCGAAGATGTTTTGTCAATTGTCGGCAACATTTAATCGAAAAATAAAGTAATTGTAATGCTGCACAATAACGAGGAAGTTTGATACCCGTTTTACTAAATAAACTTCGTAAAAATGAATTGTTATGAGATTTTAACGAGTTCTCTTTCGTTTGATTAAGATACTGATGAATAATTTGACGAGCAGCTGTGTATGCGCTAACGTATTTTCCATCTTCTTCTTTATCAGCTGGTTTAGCATTTCCAATACTAACCGGCCGCTTGTTTGAAAGCTTTTCAATCATAGGTATATCGATACCATGACGCGTATGTTCTTCCACCATAAATGGTGGTACAATTCCTATGATCGACATGAAAATGAATTAAAAATATCAATCTAGAACTAAACTAACGTACTTTTTGATTGGTTGTCTACATCGTGACTCAACTGGCGAAACACCATGTGAGCCTTCCTTTTCGATACCAGAATAATGATGATTAAAACATGGATGAGATTTGGGAAAAAGACGAAATAATCCACCGGTGGTTCGGCCATCGGAAGAATCGGTAAAATATGATAAGTGAAACGTACAACTACACCATCGGAAACTATATTTTCAGCAAATTTGTATGTGTTTGTCCAAACTTTATCGCCAGTACTGGTTCCCAACAGACTGATTGTACCCGTTTTGATATTGAAGATAGAAGAACCAGTTGCGCGAGCTTCTTCAACGATTCCATCGAAACCTTGGCATAGTAACTTCGATCCAGCAATAGACTTTTCATCACTGACCCCGTACACACCAAACCTGTTGTTGAACATGTCAATCTCATCACTGATCACATAGACGTTTCCCTATAAAACAAGATATTCGTTAATAAGCTGATCCTATATGAGACATTCGTTAACAATGGATTGCTTTCTAACAAATAGACGTAAGCTGACTTAATTCTCACTTCACTGTTCGCGAACGAATTCAGTTCTCCGAGTATAGTGTTTTATTCCCAACAGAATAAGAAGTAATATTCTACGTACTCTGGCAGCTAACGTTTTTGTAAGGCCTAATTCGGTGTCATTTTGCACAAGTAAATGATAATTACGATTGTTAACATTCTTTTTGGTAGTTTTAGCAGGTTTTTTCTTAAGAAAGGTCGACGGAAACAATGTTTCTAAAATATGCAGTGCATGGCGAACGACTCTGATTAAATTACTTTTTTGAGATCCTATAAAGACAAAAATGGCAAAGCGCTCAATAAGTCTTGTAGACTTCTCACCTGGCTCACCAATAACATGTGTCATCAGATTGATCGACATATCGTCATGTGATATTATACTAGATAATCGAATACCTTTGGATAACGCACCAATCGTCGTTAATACACAATGAAGGAATGTTGATGGTTCACAGGAATATTCTTTATAGATTTCAAAAAAATATGCCATGTACGGTTCATTGAAATGTTGAAAACATTGAGCTACGTTCAGTGGATCTTCATTCGCCAATCTATTAATATTTTGACTTATTCTTTTCTTATAATCAACTTCGGAAGCAATTGCGACAGACGGCATTATTCTATGTAAATAAATGAATAAACACGTGTGTAATTCGTATTCTATTCAGCGGTATTCATTTGCGTCTGGCTTTATTCTCTTTCTATTTCTCCCTTTCTCTCTCTCTCTCTTTGTATGTGTAAGAATAACAACAAATAATCGAAACAAAAGAGAAAGCTGAATTGCGTCGAACTGACCGGATTGGTTGACCGAAAAGATGATTCATAGATGACCAATCAAAGTTTTTTCGCCCGTTTCAGTGTTTGGTCTAATTTCAGCCTTCCGTTATAATCTGGATCTGGACTAATTTTCTGCAGACTTCATTTAATGAGATGTGTGTCTATAAAATGATGATGTCTTTAGCTATATGTTCTGTGCCGTCCTACGTGTGTGCTGTTAATCTTTTCGAATGGATAGCGATTATGCAGAGGACAAGTACATCATGTTTTCTTGTTCAACAATCGAGATATTGTCTGCTACTGGCAGATACTACGAACATGGGACACTGAATAATTAATATACTGAAACAACACATACACGAAATGATACATGAGAACGTTTCAGTTTTCGTATGTTAATCTTGATACAAATAGCAGTAACTTTCAATAAGCTGTATTGGAGCTTATTTTTCACTCATAATTATACATGGAGCGTTTTCAAACTCTTGAATATTTATCTTTTTCTGAAGGGCACTCATTTTCCTCATTTAGATTCGAAACAAACTCACAATTACTGGTAACTACATGAATTCAAAAGAGAACGCGAAGCTCTTAAGTGGATTTGATTGCCGTGGTCCAAGGAGAATTGATTTGAATCGTTCACCACTTTCCTCGATCAAGAATCATCAACTTAACATTCGGTCCATATCTGAAGAGGATTGTAAGAGTTCTTTTTTTATTTTCTTATTGTAAGCTATCGAAATGGATTTCGTTGTAGCTGTTTTTTTCAAATTCCCTGGCCCACTTGATGCGAACAAATGCGATGCACAAGGTAATACTGAAATATTTTCGTTTGTTTTTGACAAAATGTCTTTTCGGGATCTTAGATGTATCTGATATTGAATCCGATGAATATCAAGAATCAGTATCAACGGCGAAGCGTTTTAAAAAGCGTTATCATTGTATTTCTCCATTTACAGAAGCTGATTTGCAACTAGGATGGTCAACTAAATGTTGTCGTGGTGTTGGTCTGATCAATACAGATAATTCGAAACGATGTTTGAACATCTGCTACATAAACTCAGTTCTTCAATGTCTTGCTTACGCACCAACGTTTACTCAATGGATATTGAATGATTGTTTTCATGATCGATGTAAGTCGCCAACTAAGCTGTTCAAAGACAAATACTGATAAAATTAGTAATACTATAGAAGCTGAGAGTTCCGTAAAACTCTTCTTAAATTCAATTGTCCTACTTGTAAAATGTTTTTGTCAAGACAAATATTCGCAGAAGCTAAATGTATGAAAGATGTCCTTCGGTTGTTACATGTAGGTAGCAGGCGTTTACTACGTAAGAAGGTATTGAAATATATACTTGAAAAAAAACGTGTTGAATTGTAAGAACTGATAGCATGGATGTTAGTGCAAATATCTGAGTAACATCTCTATATGATCTGGCGACTATCTTGTAAGAAATACGCGCTCGTATTCGCTCCGATGATTAGTAAATGAACATGTATCGCAAAGCCATCTGTATTATTCGATACATTTGTGATGCACTGCTACGTTCTTTTCGATATTCGTTCACTCTTTTTTTTCATTGATCACGCTGTTCGTACGCACTTTTGTCGATCATGACAATGGTTGACTGATAACAGCATCTAGTATTAAAAGTATGTTTGCCATCTTTATTTTTTTCTTTGAAACGTGGGTTGAGAATTGATTCGACACCGTGTATATACTTACGTTTTTTGCACCTGACGAAGAAAAACGTCCATTGAAATGTCAACATACTATATAGACATAGCACTTTGTTTTAATCTTTTTCAGGTTATCTGGCAGAGAACAGTGACTTTTGCTCCGTATGTATTTTAAAAGGTATTATCGATGATATTCATCCAAATAATTACGAACAGAATTATTCTTATTCGGAATTGGCACAAGCATCAGCTGTTCCACTGGCACATAAAATCAGAGAAATTTCTCATAGCTTTGTTCCACGTCGTCAGGAAGATCCTCATGAATTTCTTATAGCTCTTTTCAATCATATGATACAATGTCTTTCTTGTCGCGACTTACCCTCATATTCGACATATTTATCCAGTCCACTTCATCGCATTGTTGGTGCCAATATTCAATCGTCAATTACGTGTTCTGAGTGTTTGAATAAACGCTGTACTGAAAATTATGAAAGTGTTTGGTCGATTTCCATTACACGATGTTCTAATTTAAACGAAGCTTTGAAAGAGTTTTGTTCAGAGGAAACTTTAATGGACGATAATTCAATTCATTGTTCTGTGTGCAGTGGAAATAAATCAGCAACAAAGATATTGCAGCTGATTGATTTATCACCTGTTCTTTTCATTCATTTAAAACGGTTTGCGTATGATCAGAAGGCAAAAGTAACTAGAAAAATTAAAACACAATTTTTCTATCCAGAAATATTCGACTTTACTTCGTTCATGGACAAAAGTGTTTTACGAAGAAATTACAAAAACCACGAGATGAATCATTTTATTTATCAATTGAGCGGTGTTACAGTACATCTGGGCGATAGCCCTCAACAAGGTCATGTCTTCTCGTATGTCAAAACGTCCGACAATGAGTGGTACAAAGCGAACGATGAATTGATTACGGCAACTACTCGAGATTGTGTTTTACACGAAAACAATTCTTATATATTGTGTTATTCGAGATTATCAGAAGAAGAAATCAATGATTTAGATGTAAATGAAAACACATCTAACACATTCTCAGCGGCACGTTTCTTAACATCAACTCCTATTGGTAGCGATCGAATATATCCTATCGTTGTCGATGATTGTTCTTCGGTAAGAACGTGTTGCCACCGAAAATCAGTATCATGTGACCTGCATCATTTCAGATCCGGCAAAGCTCTTCATCGAATACTACACATTTTACTGAGAGTTCATCGCAGCAGATCTCAACAAGAAACGCTTCTGTTTCAAATTAAAAGTCGTTTGTTGAGGAAGAAGGTAAATTTACAGTTAAATAAATGTTTTTTTCTGCAATACTGTTTATTTTAGACGTATCTTCTTTCCAAACGCTTCGTCAAGAAGATTTCATTTCACTGAGAGACACATTAATTCCACAAAATTGTCAGCAATTTCCTAATCTAGACACTGATAGTCGCATTGAAATTATCCCGAAAAACAACAATAACAATAAATATCAAAGTAATAGGAAGCGGAAAGGCGTTGCAAAGAACACTCTTTTGATATAGAAAAAGCAACTGCAACTAACTCACCATACTCATCTTTTTCATCATCCCCTTCAACGGAAGAGTCATTGTTACTGGTTAACAGAGAAGTTTCGTTGATGAACGGCTCTAGCCCACTGGATTTTGACTTAGAACGCGCGCAAGAATGTTCTACTCACAATTCAAGTACGTACTATTTCCCGTGTATTCATTTCCCATATGAGGCTTCATTTTCGTAGCGAGAACAAATTGCTTGTATTAACGTTTATAGTAAAACGGATCATTCGAGACGTTAATAAGAATCAAAGACATTTCGATTCAATTCGCGATCTACGTATAGACAAAAATAACTTCTCCAAGAGTTTGACGCCAGCTATCTACACTATAAAGCAATTCTTTTCTTAAAATAAAATAAACAGATGAAAATGCTCTAGAAAAGACTCATTCGAATTATTGTACGTTGACTGCTGGAAGCGACAAGTAGTGAGCTGTCGAGACCAAATGAACTGCAGCATATACTCACTAAAAGTGATGCCAGAACTTTCGATTTCCAAAAGTTTGCTTAGCCATCTTGAAGAAATTCCATTCAAAATTTTTCTATTTCAAAACGTCTCTTATACTAATCAAAGCTCATACTTCAATTCATCAAACCTATGCACTCACATTTGAATTTGAAGTTGTCGAGGTTCAGTTCATGCCGTGTTCCCATTACACAACTGTAAGTTTTTCGCAGAAGAGGAAGATCAAAAAGACAGCCACTCACGCTTGATACCAAGCATATTGTGCTTTAACTTACATATACAATACTTTGTTGCAGTCAGGTCAAATTTTCATCATCCGATAGAACTTGACACTACTCTCTTACTTGAAATAAAATAAATATTATTTGTTGATGGACATTTACATCAGACATACGTATATTGCCAAAGGCATTGTGTAGTTAAGAAGCGGATTTACCTCTTTTAGATAGTAGGAATCTGTTGAGAATTTTTCATCATGACATCTGCTACTCAATCATTTTTATCTCAGGTTCGCGACTGGATATAAATGCTGACGGTTCACAAGCAAGTGACTTCCATGTTCAATTGCCATCCTCATATTCGTTCAAATTGGAAGCGATCGATTTGGTTAAACTCAATGAAATTCGAGTGTCCAAGAACGAGAGAAAACATGAGAAATTTTTGGAAGAAATCGGTCTATCTAGTGGACGAGATAAACAATATAGAATATTTTTATCTAAGCGACATCAGACAAAAACCAACAACGAACGCGAGAACTGTGATAAGCCAGGTAAAAGAAACTGACTCAAACGAAACAACATCTTAAAGTATAAACGATTATAATATTCATAATGTTAACACAGTGAAAGAAACAGATTGAAAAGTTAGGAATTGAACATTGATTAGAGAGTTTTTATTATGACCTATGTAGAAATCTGATCAGCTCAAATTGATAGAATTCCTTTCGACATCTTAGCAAATTACATTTCACTATGTTTTTATTTTTATCAATCGTTCACAACTGTTTTCTGTTGACTGTTTTCAATATTTTATTAGATATGTTTCAAGAAAAGAAACAACCGAAAATGGATGTGCAATACTTATACATTCTTTTGCCGTATATCAAGAAGTTCAATAAATATTGTGGATTGGGCGTGCGAAATACGTCATTCGGTTTGCAAACTGACCGCCATTGTAAACTTCTACGTTGTACTCTTCGTTGTGTTGGTCGCCCATTATGTCCATTTGTCTGTTCCATCATCATTAACAACAACGGTGAAGGACATATTATTGTAACCAATACCACGATTCGACATCCCAGGGGAAAAAAGATTGCACGTCCAATGAGAGAGCCAGTACGATCGATATTGAAAAAACAATTTGCTGATGGAGCATCTGTGTATCGAATCTATCAAGACCGTTTGAAAAAGCGAACAATCGAGGAGCGACGTGGTAATAATTACGATACTGTCGGCAAAACTCGTAGTGTCTTGCGAAAGATAAAATCAGAAGGTTTAATGGAATCTTTGTTAGATCCTGATGCTGACAAAGGATTAGATCGACTACGTGAACAATATCATAACGAAATCAATGTAGACGGTCGAGTTCAAGGAGCCATCCAGCATGTATCAAGATATCCGTCGCAAGTTATTGTTTTCACGGAATCATCTATTCGATTATATGACACTTTACTAAAACAGAAAAATACTGTATTGTCTTGGGATGCGACTGGTAGCGTAATCCAAGAAAAACAGAATACACATCGTCTTTTGTATTATGAACTGAGCATCACACTCCCAGGTATCGTTTCTGACGATTCGATTGTCCCAGTTACTTTCATGATAAGTGATTCACATGGTCTAGTTGACATAATTCACTGGATGCATTTATTCAAATACAATTACAATCAAGTAAAATTGCCAACATGTCTTACGTAAAAAAGTATACATTGAGTTTTTCTTAAGGTGTTTGTCGGTAAGAAATTTCCTCAGCCTGCGGTAGTATTGAGCGACAGAGCTCAAGTTTTCCTGTTGGCGGCAATCCAGATATGGAATAATGAAACCATGAAAGATTTTTTGAATCGATCATATCGAATTGTCAATGGTGAAGGAAAGAAAGCCGATTTTCGTAAAACAAACATACATGCATGTCTCAGTCACGTTCTGTTGGTAAGTAGAGACTTCGTTCTTGTGTGAGTATTGCGTTTCTTCATCTCATAGGACTCGAGAAAAATGGTAAACAAGTTGCTCGGTGAGTCATTACGTGATCTTGCTATGTGGAGTATTGCGGTTTTAATAAACACTTCGACGTGGTGTGAATTTAAAAGCAATTGGGAATTAATCTGTGTTGTATTTCTCGAAATTCATTGTGGTGATGATCATATTCATAAAGAAAATCAAGATGCCCTTCTGAACAAAATAATCAAAATAAGATCTGACCCAAATATTGTTGTGGCTATTAAATCCTGTGATGGTCTTCCAGATGAAAATGTGGATGAATGTCATGGTTTCGATGTGTACGATTTCTCCGATGGCCATGGTGATAATGGTGATAATGACGATAATAACATGATTCAATCTAATTTTCGTTCACAGAAATCGATAAGAAAAAAGGTATGTACATCAAATAGTTCATCCGCATATTTTTCACAGAAGTACATGCGAATTATCATAAGGAAAATATATTATCAAATGTTAATCAATTGAAATAGAATGACAATAGAGGAATCATGATTTTCGATGAATGTATAAATGCAATAGTTATGACAGTTAAGAGTAGAATATTGAGTGTTTCCAAATTTTCATACGCTTTGTTCTGTATGGCATCATTAATCGTATTACATACGGTATTAATACCTTCTAGATGAAGCGTATTCTAACAATGACAACATCCCATCAATACTAAGCATAAAAACATGAACAGTGAGAGCATGCGAGTCAATCTATAGTCTTTCATTGACTGCTCAGTGTTTAATGTTTTGTTTAGAGTAATGCAGTGTAGCTGATATGTAGCATGAGCGTTGTTTATGGAAAGCTGAATGAAAAATGAGAACTCTAACATATCTATGTCAAATATTCAAGACGTCATTGTATGCAATAACTTGATGCTAGCACAGACAAATTTTCCTCATCACAATTGTCTAATCTGAAGTATTTTCGCAGATAGTCGTCGACGAAGAACAAGAAACAAATTCTACTGATTCAGCATTCAAAACAACGATCAATGAAATATTTTCTCATACACTTAGCGCTTGTAATTTGTCCAATGAAGATATGTCCGGTAAAAATTGTCATGGAATTTTGAAGTGGTTCAAATATTTAGTCAAGTATTTTATGCCAACCTTACCAATCTGGTCAAATCTGTTATTAGGTAAACGTATTTCATTAGTACATACCATATCAAAATCAACTGTGTATTCTTTTGAAGGAGATCTGACACGGCATAGACGAAAAATAGTTCGTTCTTTCGAACGAATAATCAGTCAAACTCCGGAACAAAGAACGACTGCAATAAGTGAACGAAGAATGGGTATCTTAAAACGCACACAATTGGGTAAATTCCATATACTATATCTTGAAATCACTTCGAAGTAGGGAAGCAACAATCGAGCAAATTAGTTATATCTACTAATTAGGAGAAAAACAGCGCTAGATAGAAGTGCAAGCCGTTGAGAGAATACTTCTTATTCAATGCAAAGCTTGTAGTCATATTTATGCAGTGATATCTTATTGAATAAATATCTTATTATTATAGAAAATAGTTTCAGATTGAATAGAAAGAAAATTTCTTCTCATTGTCGTTGGCAACGTGTTGCACAGCATGATTAGCTTCTTCATTTTGTTCTCACAACCTAATGAGCGGTGTATATAGAGCAAAAATTTACGCTAGATTTTTGTCAAACTAGATAAATTTCAATGATACTTCCATGGGAATTGAAAAAGCTTGCTGTTCAAAATAGTTACTTGGTACACCTAAGTATTTTGCTAAGTCCTTATGAAACTATCGTCGAATATGACAGGTCTTTGAATTCTTTATTTTCTTTTTCATTGTTCAAGGCAATCGTGTCCACATTCGACTTGATGTTTTACTTTCGATATTAATTCCGGATATGTTGACTATGATTGATGAGTATACCAGGAACTTAACTGTGTACTGTTCGGCATCTCAAAACAATGATGAAAGTAATTCGTCTATGGTGCTGGATGATCGTCGACTAAAACCGGTTGAAGAACATTGGCGCGAAACACGTAATAAGAGAGGTCATGGCCATTACACAAAATGTCCTGAACAACCAGTTTTTTCTGATCTCGTTTCATCTCTTTTGGCGTCGAGAAACGATGTAAATGCTGATCTTAAACTACCAGCAATAACACCAATCTGGTTGAATATTGCCGTTGGGTTAATTTTATCGACTATAAACAATTTTGATCTTCATCTTTCTATTCCATCACCATCATCTGAATCCTCAAACAGCTTGTCACCACTGGATATCGTTATATCCTTCATTGAAGATTGGTTAAGTTCTACACAGCGTGATAATCGTAAGACTCTTGCAGCGAAAATTCCATTCCCATTAAAAATAGACGACATAAATGGACTCGCTCAACGTTCAACATACATCCTCGAACATATTCTCCTACCATTACTGCCTTGCCATCTGATTGTTGATAAAATTTATTCGTGCAAAACCTGTGAATTTACCATGAGTAAAAGAGATTTGATTGGATATATTCCCATTAACATTTTTGGTGCTGGTTTACAACTGGAACATGATCTGTATTCATATTTTGCTCCAGTTACATCAGATCTACCATGTCCACTGTGTGGTGATCTAACTATTCGTCACATTGAAGTGATCCAATGGCCATATGTTTTAGTTCTCAATATTAATGAATCGTCGAAGAATATCAAGTTCCGTAAACCGCCTGGCACTTTATCACTTGTTCGGTTTTCCAGTTGGCTTTCCATAGAGTATCCATCCTCTAGTGTGTATGATTTGGTCTCTTTCAGCAGCATCATTCGATCAGGCTCCAACGAAATCATGGTGCGAGCGACGAAAATAAAAAAGAGTTGGTCAACAAGCATGAACAAACGATTAATTGGTTGTGGTGAAGTATTGAAACGTCTCTATGCAAACAGTCGTAAGTATCAAACGCTGCAATCGTATCGAACGATAAGTTTGAAAGTTCTTTTGTTTGTGAAAAAGAAAGCTCTTGTTCGGTATTCAAAAGGCTACAAAAACGCTCAAAAAAATTCTTTTTTATTTTAGGAATCTTAGTTTTTGAATGTGTACAAATGAAGAGCAAGACCAACTTTGTTCATGCTATTAATCGATGCTCTTTTCATATTCCACCAATCTTCGATAATGATCCATCAACATGTAAAAGTTTTCGAGCATCATGTTTAACGATCGAAACTAATAAAAAATGTGTACATTTGAATGATGTTCTTGTCGCTAACATCAAAACGCATTTCTCATGTAACAGTTGTCATCGTTCATCTGATTCTGCTACTATAGTCAAAGAACAAGTATATATCTTCAAATCAACAGTGAAAGGAAAATTGATTGGCTATCCAGTGACCTTTGATCTTCAAAATATCAATAATAGTGAGCAGTCGTGTGTCAACTGTAATCATCCAATAAAGAACATTCAAATGGAAGTTTTGAAACAAGTATTTCTCAAATGCCCATCAGTTCTGGTGGTAAGTATTTGCCCTCTTTCATTGTCACTTAAACAGATATTAGTAATTTTCTACATAACTCAACTTATTTGGACGTATCAGCTTTAGAACAGTATAAGACTCATGAAATTCGATCTACAGATAGCTATTGTAGCCTTCGTACTGATTTCTTTCAAATAGCTAGTTTTCCTCAATAAAGTTTTGTTGAGTTGACTGACGTGCTAAATTAGCATAAGATTTGTTAAATTTCTTCATATGAACTTTGCTGATATTTTCATTTGATGACACCATCCACAAAGACTGCCAAACACATCGCTAGCTTATGGCATATCTTTTTTTTAATAGAAAAGTTTCCACCGTTTTGCTGACTATTCTTTTATTTGAAACATGAATATCTCTACTGCAGAATAAAGTGAGAATGATACTTCTGGATAGAAAATCTATCAATTCAGCATTATCCTATGCGACCGTGTGGAAATGTTAATAAAATTCATATCAAGATGAGCAGTCGTGCTCAAAATTTGAGTAATCTCACGTAAAGCAAAGCATTTCTTTGGTTTATACCAGTCATGGGTTTTTTTCCCCCAAAAGTACAGTTAATACTCTTCTACATATCGATATTCAATTACGCTAAAATCAAAATGTGCATAATATTTGACAAAAGGTCTGACAAAGCTTTTCTTGTTCTCCCCTTTGCAGCAATATGCATGTGCCAATTCTATTCGAATGAACATTAAAGGATTGTCCACTTTTATTTAGAAATTGGGTGATCGCAATACTCAACCAAAAATTATTTTTGATTCTGAACTCGAATTAACAGATGTAGATGATATCACTTATTGCTATACAGCGGCTTCTATTTTATTAATCAGCCGTTACAGTGACACTATTAGTGTTATAAAAAGAATTGGTTCCGATTACATTCAGTATTCAGGAGAGAAATTTTCGGAATCTTCTGTTTTATCATATTCGAAGATGGCTGACTTATTTGATATTAGCAGTACGAATCTAATTTTTTATTATCAGGTATGTACAACTTGTAGTTCTTTCATTCTCTAGCGAGTGTAAACAAGCTGTCATGTGTAGTTTAGTAGAATCTTGTTCTATGTCGTTTTCTATTCATCACATTTTGAATGTTTATCATCTGAATGTTGTATCCTATATTACTCTGTCAGGACGTAACTTATCTCACTTCTCGTTCTTTTAGAACTCAAATGAAGTGCTTAATGGAATATAACAGCAAGCTTTCATCAATTTTTTCACTCCATAAGACGCGTCAACGAAAATGAACTGTTCTTTATGTTAGATATTCTGTTTATAAAATGTTACTATTTTTACTGAATGTCCAATATTTCCTGTATTGCGTATCTTCGAATCGTTTCATCATTTGTATTTCAAGTCTCTGTTCTACCAAACTCATTTATTTTATGAAATGCTTTTTTCTACTTCCAAGACACATTTCTCGTAACTAGTAAATAACGAATTTTCGGCACTCAAGCAATTCATCTTGTTATAATCAAACTAAACCTTTCACTATTATGTCTCACAATAGAGTATGACTGTAAAATGAAACAATAAGAGAAGGAAGCTTATTGACTAGTAAAGCTAAATACCGTCTTCAACTTGAACAAAACTACAATCGACATAGTCACAATACCACACAGATAGAAGAAAATTGCTTTTTTGGTACTTGAGCTTTTCAATATTTCTCATTCTGAATCGAAAAATGACACAATCGTAATCAGTTAACGAAAGCTCTTCAACCACATTGCCCACACAGTCCACAAAGCTAGCGCTCTTTTCATCTTCAAACAGCAAGAGAATGAAAAGTGCTGAATATTCTAAATTGCATTGAATCATTTACGAAAAAGCTATCACCGCGTAACTGCCAGAGTCCAGTTGAAAACTCAGTGATGAGCAGCTCTTTTTCGCGCTTTTCAATCCTAGATCCATGCATTTACACCACTTCAGAAAAGCTTTCACAAGCTTCGTAATAGTGATCCTTCCAATTTTTTAAGCACTCTGTATCCATCGTACGATGACTACGGCTGCACCATTCTCATGAAATGCATTCAGACAAAAGCATTAGAGAAGCGTACCTTGCAAAAGGGACCTTCAACAATACAATATTCAAAACTGTTCCCACGACGGAACCTATCCATTCTTTCATCAATATAATCCAATTTTTCCAACACCTATATCGCATGCACAAACATAGTTCCAACAATCAGCTCCAATATATAATCTCAAACAGTCGAATATATAACATTACAGCATAAACTGAATTATAAAAACTCCCATCATGCCGTCTGCTTTTCTCGATATCCACATCCAGCTGTATTCTCTTATTTACTTAAATCAAAATCTATATCTGCATAAGACGCTTCCTCTATGAATCTGCCCAATAATGTATTCATTTACTGTTTATATCAACCATCATACTACCATTCGTATACTCATACATCAATCATACAGCTTTCAATCAAGCTATTAACCCATCTAACTATATATCTATATAGCTATTCCCAAGCACATACTCATCTACCCGTCCATCCACCAACCCATCTATACATCCGTGCGTCTACCTACCGATCTGACTACCGATCCATCTATCTACACTGAAAAAAATAATAGCAGAATGGAAAACCCTAAAAGGGTACTTGAAACTGCAACGAATAATGAACCCTTCAAAGCGTATCTTAGCGCTTCTGAAACCCTCTTCAATACCTATCAGAATCCACATTTTAAACGTACATTGGCACAAAAACCCCTCTCCAAAGGTTTCTGCTATCGTTTATGGACATTTCTTTTCGTTGTAAAAACCGTTTTTCAACCGTTTCACAGAGGGTATTAAACTGAAAACTACCCTAAAAGGGTTCATTATTCGTTGCACTTTCAAAAACCAATTAACCATTTTTTAGGTATATATTGTACCCAAAAAAATGCTATCGGATGCTCAGCAAACAGTACTTCGTACTCCTCCTCATATCCACACATACGGTTAGAAGGGTTTTGCCAGACACCTGTGGGTTACGTGCACTGCATGAGGGTTTTACCATCCGCGCTTAAGAGTGATATTCACCCTTAAAAAGTTTCTGATATCCAGCTTGACGATCATCGATACCCACCAGGGGTATCTGTAATTCCAGTTGACCATGATCTAAACCCGCCAGGGGTATTTGGAGTTCCGGTTGACCATGATTTAAACCTGCTAGGGGTATTTGGAGTTCCAGTTGTGAACCATCTAAACCCGCCAGGGGTATTTCGAGTCCCACTTGTCGATCATATATACCCACTAGGGGTATCTGAAGTTCCATCTGTTGATCAGATGTACCGACCAGGGGTATTTGGACTTCCAGTTGTGGACCATATAAACCCACTAGGGGTATCTGAAGTTCCATCTGTTGATCAGATGTACGCGCCAGGGGTATTTGGAGTTCCAGTTGACCATGATCTAAACCCGGCAGGGGTTTTTGAAGTTTCATCTGTTTATTAGATGTATCCGCCAGGGATACTTGTACTACCAGCTGATGATGATCGATACCCGCTAGGTATATTTCAGATGCCATTTGTTGAACTCCTATAATCACAAAGAATACTGGAAAGTTTATACGATCAATGTGTATACTTATCTAGCCTGTTGTAACTGCTGCTTCGTGATAATTGGTGCGAATGAAACGTGTCCAAAAGGCCATTTGACTTGATGACGACGCATGATGTCGAGCAGAACTACGTGAATTGTCCGAAAACGGAGTCTTCAAATTTCGAAGTGGATTGAACAGCTTTGCAAAATGGATGTCATGATGGAGTTGTAACTGAAAAAGCGACATGAGATATATATCATTGTCAATGATAACTAATTCAAGAGAAGATCGAGGTAAAATGTTTTCATTGCATATACTTGAATGAGAGCTTAGTAACCGATAGGAGCATGATTTGATATCCACTATTTTACCAAAAAATTCCAAGTTGTTTGAGGCAAATTCTGAACATGGCAGAGAAATAGCAAATGATCGATAAATTGGCTTATCCATGAGGAAACGTTATGGTTGCTTTCTTGATCCGAGAAAAATCTCGTTAGGTGAATATAGACGATTCCGATTGTGGATGTTATAATTGTCGCTTGATTTAATATAACGGGTAGAATGAAAATTAAATGAAAATGAGAAAGCTATCGAGCTTCGAGATATCAATGTTAACGAGATAGAAATGAAAATGAAACGGTAAATAAAAAGAAGAAGAACTATGTTCTGCTTAGTGCATACCAGCGAAAGATATTGACTAATTTTGATTGTTTTCTCACAACAAAGTCAAAATGAGAATCAGACTGATGATTTTGATCATCAATGGTCATGATTCGACCGTTATTCGATCTCATTCCACCTTCAATACAACACGGATTGAAATCGAATTGTAATCTGTAAAAGAAAAGTCAATAAATCAGTTATCAACTTTTCCCTCCCAGAAAACAATCCAACTCTAACCAGTGACTTGTATTGAATGATGGACGAAATCAAATAACAGTTAAATCATGAACATCAACGACCAACCTCATCGGTTTGATTCATACTCTGACCTTGAAGAAGTATACAACCAAAATCAGCCAATATCTTTCACCATGATAATATAACGAATTAAAAAGAGCGAGTTCTGTTTTGAAGATGAATTGTTAACAGTGGAGTTTTCTTATTTATCGACCACCTGAAGATAATTGAGAGCCAACAGAATGGATAACTTCATCTTGATCATGTTCATCATCATTGTCGTTGTCAAATGAAAAACAATTTTCTTTACCTTTTGGTATTTGAGTTAATGCTTTGCGTGTTCGCTTTCGATTAGCCAGAACATTTGAAGATGATGAGGATTGCTCGACTTCTGTGCTGAAACTGCTTTGAAAAAGAAAATGAAACGAGTCGTGCAATTTAAATCATAAGACAAAAACTTACCTTTGCGAGTTGACATTCGTGTTGCTCGATTCATTTCTATCAACCGCCGAATCCCCAACAATTACATTTGTAGAAGATAACGGAGATGACGCATACTTATCTAGAGACACAAATTGAAAATTCGCTTGTGGTGGTGGTGGCGGTGATGTTGTAGTGGCTGTTGCTGTCGAATTCGTTGTCACTGAACTTGTTAAATTTGCAATTTTTCGATTTTGTTCAAAGCAAACATCGATTTGTTTTTCTTTAACCAGATTGCGAATACTGCCTGAAAGAAATCGTTTATCACCAATGACAACCGCATATAATAAACGAATCTCCCGACAGTTTTTTGTTGAAGTTCAATTCGAATACAGCATACATAGCCAAAAGAAGAGCTAGATTATCATCTGGAGAAGTTGATGACACAATCTGAATGAAATCGACGAAAATATGAATAACATCATTCATGAGAGCTAAAGTTGGGTACGGCATTGATGGTGTCTAAATAAATAAACATAATTAAATCAGACATACAGAAAATGATTATCGAAACCTATCGAAAGCAAATTAGAGATCAATCCAGACGAAAAGAGATGGTCGAACCACAAAGATTTGATTTGTTATAAGGAATGATCAATAAGAATTCACTCAGCCGTGCAACAGTAATTTTCGATGATTCAGACGAAATGTCTGCTTGAAAACATCGATGCTCGGTTGAGAAACGAAAAAATCATTGCTTCATTTATATCGAGTCCTCATCACGAAGTTATCTGTCGACTCTATACGCTCTGCACATGTACAACGCAATATAAGCTACCTAGCTAATTGAAATAAGAAGATAATGGATGGAAACGATTTTAAAAGTGAAATGATGACCATGTGAAAAGGACTAAACAGAGTTATGTTCGTCTATTACCCAAACGGAGCTTAAACTGTGAAAATAAATGAACGCACTGCTGTAATCACGTGCTTAAAACATAAACAGAATGTGACTTCATTGCGTATATCGCTGAACAGGATGTCATTTCTTGTTAGACTTATGTTCTAATGCCTTTGGAAAGTATTGAGATACTGCACTCACTTCAACTATAGATAAAGTCTTTTAATATAAAAATGCGAAAGATGTAGAAACGGAGTCTCTTGAGCAAAAAGAACACGTACTGAATCACAGTAGATATGATGAACTGTTTCTTCGTATTGTCGACAGTGTTCGAATAAGTTGAATTCGAGGCGGGTCTAGAAAAAATGAACTTTGTCAACACATGTCATTTCCTTTCTTTCTTACCTGTAATGAAAGCAGGCGAGGACAGCAATTTCTCCAATAAGATTGGTACTTGATAGCGTACAACAGAACGCAAATCCACTGTCATAGTCATTCGGACTTCCTCAAAAATCTGTAAAAGATAACAATCTGTTTTTGTAGCTAAAATATCAATAACTCATACTCACGAGAAAAGAATCTGTGTACCCAGGATAATCTTCAAGGATTGGCGACGTAGGTAGATCACGAATCAGTTTGCGTCGAACATGACGTTTTTCTTTCCATAGACGAACTTGTGCATTACGATCGATTCGATTGTTGTCAAGCAATTCTGGAGATTTGATCTTCATACTATTGAATGAATCATTATCATTGTAATTCATTGCTAGAATCTAAAAAGTAAATGTCAAGCAAATTCGAACGCTGTTCTATATTTGCTTACTTGTTTTTGTCGGTGACGCGCTGCAACACTCCCAATCATTGTTCTTACAGATCTACCAGAGCCTGTTTTCTAATATTTCATCAGATGATATTGTACTTCCACATGATCCTTGTGTTCGCCACGCTTTCTTTTCAGCTTTATCTGCACAGCTTCCTTCCAAATTTCCTTATTAAAAAGTCAGGCTTGTGATGAATGTATTTTTTACCAACAAAATTCAGAACAAAACTTCTTTCATACATGAATTGAGAAGTCTGTCGGACTTGGTACAAGAGAGAATGTTATCTCAATGTATGTTCATCTCCAGCTCATTCACAGACACCGCATGACAAAATCATGAGAAACAAACTCACGAAATTATCTTTGATAAAAGGTAATTTCAACAAACAAACAATCGCGGTTCCAGTAGCATCAAATAGTTTGTGACTGGGATAACTAAATGAAAAATGAATCTATAGATTAGCAGTTCTCATACGAGAGCACATGGTCATTCTTTATCCTTTGAATTTGTCTCAAACGGTCTAAATTTTTTCCTATTTAAATAGTTTATTGAGACGATGGAAAAGTCATCGAAATGAAAAAGGAAACCTGAATAATAATAGCTAAAGACGTTAGTTATTTGGGGAAAAGTATCGCAAGCAACATGTGAATCTAGATAAGTATTTTACTGAAATATTGGTGAGAAATGTTGTAATGTGCGTTTCTTTGATTGTGTGAATGTCAATGTATCAAGAGAAGAAAGTGATCAAAAGGCATGTGTGATAGAGAGATGCACAGATTAATGTAAACATGCATATTTACAACATGTCGACATAGAGAAAAAAGGATTCATCGATATACTTAATTTACAATAAATTGTATTTCTTGAATAAATCATATGTAATCGTATCGATAAGAACTTGCCGATTAGCATGTTGAGGTCCAAACTTATAACAAAGGTTGTGGCAATTGTGGAATAGTGTATTCAGCAGGAAATGTCGAGTCGGTATTTTCTTTCACCTGTAATTCAGTTAATGTCCGATCATGAATATTCACACCTGATGAATCACTCATAGCAAAATTATCCGATGACGATGAAGAAGAATTGAGATCTTTGGGGATAACTGATGGTGAATCAACATTGGAGAAAGACTTGCTGTTATTTGCTTTAAATAGTTTTTCACGCTCTTTCAAAAATAATAATTGATACTTCAGTCTGGGGATCAACTTTGTCACCTTGTCGACACTGTCCATCATTTCGAGAGTTTCGCCATCGATCTCGTTGTCTAAAAGCTAAAGGCTATTGCTCTCCATATGGTAGAGAAAATCGAACACTTCGTGATAAAATTCAAGTAAAACGACCAGAATAAACTCGATAAAATAAAAGAAGCTAAAAGAAGAATAATGATGACAGTTTTCAAATGAGTCAATATGAAGTCAAACGAGCCTAAATGTAACAAAAGTTGAATTATCAATCTCATAAACATCCAGTCCTTTGACATAATACTTCATCGAATATGGATCTAATATACGAAAGGCATCTATCAAGTTAACTTCCCAACCACATAGTTTGTCATCGTAACCAGCGGTTGTCAAAACATCGACTAATAACCACCATTTGTGTGTAAGTTTAATAATGTTTATTACTTGAACGAATTTCGGTGCTTCTGTTAAATTCATCAGAGATATTATGTAAATACCAAACCCACAGTAGTCAACATTCACATGGCGGAATTTTTGTCACTGAACCAAATCCTTTGGTTTAACCTATAAGCACCAACACGACACAGCGATAGCAGAGATAGGAAGTTACTTTTCTCTACAGCGATGTCCGACCACAAACGAATCAAATCGACAGAGAGAAACACAAAAAAGGTGGAGAATAGAAGAAAAAAATTCATGTGCAGAAGATCTAGTGGCATATCAGCAATTTTGCATAGAGCTTTCACTGATAATCAAATATGAAAAAACATGAAAATAACTGTCGTCTCGCATACTGCAGATATTATAAATGATCGCTCTAATCACGCCTGAAAAAAAGCGCTGATCTTCAAAAAGTGAAACAATACCATCGTCATTCATGAAGGATTTGCACCACGTAACCACTTGGTCACACGTCCAGTTCATGTTGATAAAAAAGAATAACGACCTGAAAAAATCCGATTAGATACAACCAAAGCACACGAGTTCCCTAAGTTTGATGTAAATTCATCTAAATGCAAATGATGCATAGAAGATCATTTGAAGAATAGTTGCACCAGATGCGATCTCCATCGCTCAATGTAACGCCAAATTAAGCTGAATCGAATCGAAGTTTTTTCAGCGCCTTCTCTCTAAGAAGTAGCTCAATTCCCTCACTAGATTAAATCAGCAGTATTTAACATCTTTTGCTCGCAATCTCATTCGTCTGTGTATGTATATATATATATATATATATATATAATTCTCGCCAATTCCTTTTCTTTTCACAAATACTACCATTCTATTTGAATCTATGCTTATGACGACAGTTAGCTATTCATAATTGCAAATAACAGATGGACCTAATTATTCGTCCTGATGACTTCCATTTTTCTCGCATAATAATATGCATATACTTTCATGAGAAATCAATCGTGTCCGCGACAAGACTCATTTTTTCTGAAACAGATTCTCAGCACTAATCAAATCATTAATAGCGTTGCTTTTCTATATTATTTTTCTAAGCCTGGAATATCTTCTGTGTGCATCATCTAGAAGAATTACAAGTAAAAGGATGTTTATAAAAACAATACTGAACATAAAACTAAAAGGCACACAGTATAAATATAATTGCAAATACAATTGATTATTCTATGAACCGAATTGACAACTACATAGTTCCTAAGAGTAATCATGACAATCTAGCACTCCAGATTGTTCTACACTTGATCGTGTTTGGAGAAATTTTTTCACTAGAATCGTGCATTACTCATCCTTCAACCGTATTTCCAAATACCCCTCGATACCATCCGTGTATCACTCATCCCTTCGCCGTATTTCCAAATACCCTTCGATATCACCCGTGCATCACTCATCCCTTGCCCGTATTTACCAATACCCTTCAATATCACCCGTGCATCATTCATCCCTCAACCGTATTTCCAAATACCCCTCGATACCATCCGTGTATCACTCATCCCTTCACCGTATTTACCAATACCCTTCGATACGATCCGTGTTTTATTGTATCCTCTTTGGTATTTTAGCGAACGGTTTTCCAACGATATATAGTGCAAAAACCCTGTATAATCTCAAAAACGGCGCACTTCAGAAACCCACTATCCCATAAATGGTTTTTTCGTATATGTGATGTTCATAAACCCTTGCAAGGTTTATGTAAGGTCGTAGAAAAGACAAGGCTTCTGTCCGATACTGTTTTTTTTACAGTGTATCCAACTGTCTCTCTATGCAGCNGTGCACCTGCTTCGATATCTTGTAACAAAGATTGTGGCAGTTGTGGGATAGTGTATTCAGCAGGAAATGTTGAGTCGATATTTTCTTTCACCTGTAATTCAGTTAATGTCCGATCATGAACATCCAAACCTGATAAATCACTCATAGTAAGATTATCCGATGACGATGAAGAAGAATCGAGATCTTTGGGGATAACTGATGACGAATCAACATTCGAGAAAGACGTGCTGTTATTTGCTTTAAATAGTTTTTCACGCTCTTTCAAAAATAATAGTTGATACTTCAGTTTGGGGATCAACTTTGCCACCTTGTCGACACTGTCCATCATTTCGAGAGTTTCGCCATCGATCTCGTTGTCTAAAAACAAAAGGTTATTGCTTTCTGTATGGTAGAGAAAATCGAACACTTCGTGATAAAATTCAAGTAAAATGACCAGAAAAAAAACTCGATAAAAGAAAAGAAACTAAGAGAAAAATGATGACGATAGTTTTCAAATGAGTCAATACGAAGTCAGTCGAGCCGTAAATGTAACAAACGTTGAATTATCAATCTCATAAACATCCAGTCCTTTGAGATAATATTTCATCGAATACGGATCTAATATGCGAAATTGATCCATCGACCTAATTTCCCAAGCACATAGTTTGTCATCGTAGCCAACGGTCGTCAAAACATCGACTAATAGCCACCATTTGTGTGTGAGTTTAATGACATTTATCACTTGAACGAATTCCGGTGCTTCTGTTAAATTTGCCAGAGATATTATGTAAATACCAAACCGACAGTACTCAACGTTCTCATGGCGGAATTTCTGGCATTGAACTAAATCCTTTGACATGTCAATATTACCAAAGTGATTGATGATAACATATTTCATTTCATTACTAAAAAGATTGTTTTTCACTTTCTGAATTCGAATAGCTTGATCAGAATGATTCAACTGAGTCATTCGAAAATTTGAAAAGGCTTGTTTTAATCGATAACGAGTCGCTAACGATTTCGGTGTGTTTTTGTAATTGTTCGATCGAAGTGCAATTTTTTTGAAATAATAATGATACGACTCATACCGCATCGACCACTGTTTTATCGCCGGTCCATAATCATTTATTACTTGATCATATTCTGTGCAAAAATGAACTTTCGGCACTACTTGTCGTGGAAAATGTTTTATCATCGAATATTGGAAAGCAAACGATAGATCGCGAAGTGTAGGCAACCAGGCTTTTCTGAATGGAACAGAAAAAACAATATCGACTATTTCTCTCAATTGTTTATAAACAATGAAGGATGGAAGTTTGTCGACAATATCAGCAAAGATTAGCGGGAACAACCTAAACAAGCACCACTTCTGTGATGCACTTGCAGCAATCTTGTCGTTTTGGAGGTGTTTAACGAGAATTGGTGGTGGTTTATCGCGTGAATCAAAATGACCATATGCAAATTGTTCCATGCGCTCTTGAATTCGAACTTGAATAGATGAAAAGAAGGACATGAAACACTTCGTAACGATCTCAACGCAAAACAACAACAGATAAATCAATGCGGCTATTGTATTCGAATGCATATATTTTCCTTTCAATTGCATATGATTCAACAAAGCTGGTAGCATCCAGCATCTCAAAACAGATCTTACAGAATGATTGGATATTAATCTACTACTTGATCATACCAAAGAATGACTAAAGTTCTTTATATCGTAACTTTCAATTTTCATGAGGTAACGAAGTCGAAGACTTTTCTCCACTCACTACCATGTATCATCGACTGAGTGTTTCCGATAAATTTTACATGGATACGTGAAAACTACAGCAACTATGAATAGTACTTATGACGTTCTGTTCTCATTCACATAAAAAATTTCAAGTTCTCAACAAGTTAAAGCCAATTTAGACTCGAACATATCCTTTCCTATGTGCTCTCTGACATCAATTCGCAAAAGAAACACAAAACTTACAATAAGTAATAAGTCTCAGAGCTGATGCTTCCTTGAGTAAACTTATTATAACACGAGGACACACGCCCTCAAGATAATCGTGCATTAGGTCTGCTGGAAGGGACATCGTTGGATGAAAGCCATCGAGATCAGACAGAAGACTTTTTCCAACAACTCCCATGATTGAGGTTCCATTCAAATTTGAAGTGATTCGCCGGACTAAATCATCATGATAAGTACTGGTCCTTGTATCGGGCCTAATATGTATCATTGGTAAATGCAGATCAGCGTGTTTTAAAAAGCAACGCCGGCACACATAACCAGTGCTAAACGATGATTGAAATCCTCCAATTTGATGTGCTGCTAAGTTATCGGCTACTAGAGTCGAGAAAGAAAACTTGATTGTTCGATTATTNAAAAGCAACGCCGGCACACATAACCAGTGCTAAACGATGATTGAAATCCTCCAATTTGATGTGCTGCTAAGTTATCGGCTACTAGAGTCGAGAAGGAAAACTTGATTGTTCGATTATTAATCACCAGACCATTTCGTTGAAGATAATTCAGATTTTTGATTATTGGTTCGAAAAAGCGTTTCGCTTTCACATCATCCTCAAAAAATAACTCACAATGGAACGACATTCATATGAGACAGTATAATCTTAATTTCGACCACTATCGAAAAAGAAAGATACACGCAAGAACAAAACGAAACGAAACGAATTCGATGTGTGAATGTGGTCGAAGTACAGTTTGCTGGTCAGTTGTGAATGTTTATATACAAGTTTCAACACGAGGAGAAGATCGTCCGCATTGCGGAACATGAAAACAATGCATCATGAATCTTTTAAGAGGCTTTACCTTCAGCGTTCTGCTTGTACAAATTCCAACAAGATGAATGTGTTCGAGTTGTGAGCGGTGTTGATCAGGAACATCCTCCATGGTAAAATAAATCATAGACATCTTATGCATGTCTTTCTTAGCACCAATCGGGTTAGTTAGCCCAATGTCATCGATATACAATTGCACAAGCAGACTATCGTCATCGATTCGACTACCGTAGTCTCCGTCACGAAACGAAAACATAAGATCTTCGTCGCCAAACACCTTTTGTCGTTGTTGTTTTACATTGTCCAAAATTTGATCAACCACATAGTTATTATGTAGAACGGATTTGATTGTTTCATCTATTGGAATGAAATAAGCGAGTTCTGTCGCTTCACCAGGATCTGACAAAACAATCTGCTTAGGTGGACGATACGAAAAATTCTCTTCACAAAATTGTTGAAATTGATATTCATTCCGTGTAACAGCTTCTACAGCACAACAGACTTCATTGATTGTTTTATTGATCGCATCGATATCGAGATATTTTTTCGTAGAATTAGCCGCAGATGTCGAAGCAAAAGCGTTTCCAACAGCATCTGAGTGATTCAGCGCAGCTTTTTGTTCGATCAAAGATTGCAAATTGTTCACCAATGCAACAATATAAGTAGAGATAGAACTAATAACATTTTTTGGTAAAAGAAATTCTTCTCTTAACTGTAGCATGAACAATGCAAAAGCTTTTTTGATATCTAATATTGATATGGAATCCCCATTTTGATTGGAGATCGAGTCAAATAAATTGATTGGAGTTATGTCATTCTCATCTTCATTCGTTAAGATGAAGTCATCCGTCTCGTCAATCGGATGATCGATGTCATCATCATTGTTTACATCAGATGGTGAAGTATGGTTAGCGCAAGGGGGAAAAAGCGGATTCAGGATTCTCGGATTCTACGGACTCTTTCGGATTCTGTGGATTCTGTCGGATTCTCACGGATTCTTCGGGCTCTTGATGGATTTTACAATATATCTCTAACTATATCTCAGTATTGGTAATGATGCTTCTATAGCTAAAGACTCTCAATGATGTCTCATAAAATGATTTGCCTCATATAATAAGGGAGATGAAAATTCGTCCTGTAATGGTTTCTCCTTCCCTACTTATAATTTCACATACAGCTATGTTTTCAAAGCAAAGCTTTTGAATCCTTACAATGTGATATGAAAAGCTATATCAATTATCCATATAATTCAAGATAGAAAATAGATATCATATACAAGATAGAAAATAGATATCATATATGAAGTGGCATGATATAGATTCCAAAGATGTTTGAAGACAAACCTTGTGAACATTGAATTGTATACAGATTCTATAGATGAGTGTACTTTCGTTTCATTAGAAATTGTAAATAAAGTATAAAAGGAAGTTGAATTTTATTTTTGCTTTATTTTATTATTCATATTTGTACCAAAGTATACCATATCATAGTTCAAATGTCGATTGATCTAAGTAATCTACCTGATGATGTTTTATCTTACACTAATGATCGTCTATATACATTTGTCGAAGAAAGTCTTGGTCACGATGAAATGATGGTGATTAAGATACAATCGATTAATAATGTTAGAGCATTAATAAATGTTCCAGATATCATGGCATTTTTCAATTTTAATTCCAAAGAAATCAATGCATTAAAAGAACGCGTTTGTTTTGTTGATGAAGATAAAAAGCTTTTTTTGGTCGAAGCTGGAATTAAAGCAAATATTGCAAATTTAGTATTATTACTCAAAGAGAAGGCGAACAAAGAAACAAAACGAGCAAAAAATCGTAAACCATCATCAACATCGTTACAAACGTCGACCCAAGCAAATAATAATCAGTCTATTCTGTCCACGTCAAATCTTTCTGATGTAACTATTATTAATTCACAATTAACACCAGTGATTTCAACAACACCTGAACTTAATTCACCAAATTATTACATCCATAAGATTTGTGAAAATATTGACAATTATTGTGTAAATACATTCAATAATATCACTCTAACAAACGATGTTGATTACAAAATTTTTATGAATGTGTTGAATCCAAGTATTGATGGAACTATTACGTGTGGATGTAAGACAAATATTAAACTTATTTTTCGTTCAAAGTCGAATGCATTTCAGCTTTCTGCTTATTTCAAGCATATAAAAAAAAGCCGTTGTATTATGATGAAGAAGAAAAGACAAGGATTGAACAACGTTTCCAACGTTAACAAAAGCTTACTGGACGTCGCCTCACAAGAGAACAACACTTCCACCGCGAGCAATATTCAAAATGTTCCTGATGAAGAAATCGTGGACGATGGAGACGAAAGTTCTCAAATGGTGATTAATGATTCAATAACAACGGTTTCAAATTCGCATGGAAGAAAACGATCTTTACAATCTAGATCAACATCCAGTATTACGAAAAAAAAAACAAATCATTATTCTGAATAAACTAATGTTATATTTTAATTATTTCAATATTTGTATTATTTGTTTGTTCGTTCTTCATGTCATGATCGTTTATAATAGTTGGGATCTTTTTTTGTATAGAATCTTTGTGTATATTTAATTGTATTCTTTTTCTTTTACTTATTCTAACACACGGTCATTAGGAAATCAGTAAACATAATTGTATTTATTAAAACAGTTGATCAGTGGAAAATAAATGGAATCTTCTAAGTGAATTGAACTGACGATAACTTTTTTCTAGACAAACCTCAATAAAACTATGAATTCTGAACAGAGTGAATCATCATCACTTCCTCGTGATCTTTGGTCATATTCCGATAATGTCTTTTATAGTTTTGTTAAAACTTTTGTTGGTGAAATTGAAGGAGAAATTTTGGAAATACAATGCATAAAGAATGTACAAATTTTATTACAAGTGCCGGACGTCTTTTCATTTTTTCGATTGAATTGTAAAGAGATATCGGCTTTAAAAAAGAAGGCTTGTTTTCTTGACGATGACATGAATTTTTTGGTACGACCTGGAATTAAATACAATATTGAAGAATTTATTAATTTATTAAACCGACATTTTGAAGTGAAATTAATGACAAACAATACCATTCCGCCTAATGCAACAGCATCTGCTGCACACAATAACATCGGTCAATGTGTGTGTGGTTTTACAAATATTGATACAGAAAATGATGAATATGAATCAGAACCATTCATTAACATTTTTCTTAATAATCTGCTGAAGAACATGAAACGTCCAAAAAATAACTTTCGATTTAATGATATCATTAAAAAATTTGCATCGGTATTGAGAATATTAGCTGGTAATAACGCTTATGAATTTATCAGGATTAATCTTCCTGGAGCTTTGCCATCTAATACAACATTGGAGAATTACGATGCAAATATGAATTTTGAACTAAAGGAGTGTGAATTTCGCTTTGATATGTTGAAAGATTATATGCAATCGATAAAATCCGAATATGTTTTCTCGGTATGTAATTCCAAAATGTAAAAGAGAAGATATATTATACTTGTATAGAAAGATTTGTGAAATATAAGCAAAAACTTTTGTAGAAGAGAAAGTTAATGAAAAGAAAACTACATAAACATTTATTTTAATCAAATTTTTATATGATCTACAGGTACTATTCTCAAGTATCAGTCGATATAATTTTAATCAATTGTATTTCATCTGATATGTATAAAATAATTATAAATATAGATCAAATCCTATCTGATTGTCATATAACCACCATGATATTAACTGTATATTTTTTACTTTAGTCTGAAGACGCGACTGGTGTAGTTAGCTCGGTGTCTTATGATGCTGTTAATGACTGTTTTATTGGTTTTACATCACCGTTAAATAATGGTTTACCTATTGTTGATCGATTTAAAACCAACAACTATAATGAACTTGAAGAATGGTTCGAAAATATTGACAAATCCACATTAGTTAATGTTCATTTAATTGAACCATTGTTAAAAGATGTGTCATCGTTGGTACATTCGAGACCATACATTTTGAGTGGTTATGGTATTAACAATAAACACTCTGCATACGATACGATACGTAGGTGGATTCATATTTATAATCAATGTAAACAACAAAATGTGAATGTAGTTGGCTTTTCGACGGACTGTGACTCACGTTATTTCAAGGCGATGAGATTGGCATTAGGTTTCTTTTCTCGAGCACCTAATGTTGATTTATTAACAGGAAATAATGATGCATTTGTAATTGATATACCATCGAATTGGAAGTTTTTCTTTATGAGACCTCAGCAGTTGTTTCTTTGTATGCAAGATGGTCCACATTTAGTGACCAAGATTCGAAATCGTTTGTTATCAGATGTTGCCACCTTGTATATTAATGATGATCATATTAATATAAACCATTTACTTGAATTAATTGAAAACCATCCAAAACTTGATCATAATTTAGTACAATCCGATATTATTCCGCAAGATAAACAAAATTATACTTCTTGTTTGAAAATCACGTCAAATGACGTATTACTTTTGTTACAACAAACGAATCACAAAGCCACATATATTTACTTGTACTTATTAAAATTAATCATTCTTGCTTATGTTAAATCGGACACTGAAATTCTTACTCGACTGTACTTTGGTTGGACTGTTGCCTTTGCATATCGAATTTGGTGGTAATAGATAAGAATTTGTTGAAGTTAATCATTTCAAAATCGTTTTCTAGGTGTAGTATTCGATTAAATGGAAACTTATCTCAAGCCGAAAAAGAGAACTCGTTTATTACAAGAGCAGCTTGGCTTTCGGCTGAAATAAATATCCATACGTTGACCTTTATCATTATATTAGTACATAAAGGACGTTTACCACCGTATGCACTTAATATCCATCTTTTTAGCAATCAACCATGTGAATCTACATTCAGAAGTGCTAGATCTCTTTCTGCTTCTCTTTCATCAATTACAACGTTCTCAGTTTCTCAATTTATGAATAAGATAGGAAAAATTTCTCTTTTGAATCAAATGAAATCAATAGAAGAGTCTAATAACAAAGAATATTCGTTGAAATTTCCGAGACATCACAAGCACCGTCGTGATGAATCTGATGTATCTGTATATGCTCAAAATGTATCAGCAGTTACTACAGAAGATATAGAGAAAATCATAATGAAAGCTTATCAAAAGGCAGAGTCAATCATGAATAATTTTGAATTAATAAAAATTTTAAAAGAATCAAATTTAGATGATGTCTATAAACTTAGTTCATTTATTTCTCATGAACTCAACAAAAAATCACCAGTTGATCATTCAGTTATTAACAATTATGATAATGATGATTATGATAGTTTAGATGAAGATGAAGAAGATAATGTTACCAGCAAATTTCATAATGTTGAATTAGTTGAAAGCGATGAACACTCATCAGATGAAAATGAAGAAGAAGTATGCAATCTTGAAACATCAAAACAAACATTTCGTGGAATGAAAATTTATTCAAATGTAAAGTCTACAAAAATTAACAATTATTTCAAAATTCAAATTAATAATAATGATTATTATATGCACAAACAAACGGCAGCGCGTCTTTTGACAACCAACAAGAATCATTTGTCATCTGACAGATGCTTTCGAGTCAAACAGACGAGTAGACAATGTTAACTTTTTTTTTTGTTTCTTTGCTTATCACATTCAAATAAAGATGAATAAATGATTTAGTTACTTGAAAAAATCTGTACAAGAATCAGGCCATTTTTAATTATTTACCTAATTTAAGCATTATATCGACCAGTACCGATGAATACTTGCAAGGTATTTTTAATTCTTCAGAATTTTTTCTTGGATTCTTTCGGATTCTCTTGGATTCTCTTGGATTCTTTCGGATTCTACAGATTCCTTCGGATTCCATGGATTCTTTCGAAATTCTTTGGATCCTAGAATCCAACAGAATCCGCTTTTTCCCCCTTGGGTTAGCGTAAGACGGTTCCGAGGCATCAATCTGGTTATTCGATGCACGTAACTGGTCGAAATGATGACGGTATATATGAGATTTGTATCCAGCGTACGTATTGTAAGAAACCCCACAGGATAGACTCAAATCACAAGTTATTCGGAACTTAGATTCGCTTTGATGAAAAAGAGTGACATGTCGAAAGAACTTACCAAATGTGTCGAATCTACGATCGTTCAAGCAAAGAGGGCACACAAACAGTGGCGTCATAGCATGAAATGGAAAGTAAATATGTCAGACGGATCTTTCCATGTACATTAAATATATCATGTTTTTTCACTTTTCAACTATTCTATCGACAGCAAGTGTTAACAACAACCGACCGTTTAACCTATAGGCACCGACACGAGATAGCGATAGCAGAGATAGAAAGTTACTTTTCTCTACAGCGATATTCGACCACAAACGAATAAAGTCGACGAAAAGAAACACTCCAAAGGCGCAGAATAAAAAAGAATTCACATGCAAAACATCTAATCATTTATCCGCAATTCTGCATCGAAATTTCACACAGAATCAAATATGGAAAAAAGCATAAGGATAACTTGTTTCGCATACTCCAGATATTATGAATGATCGCTCTAATCGCACGTGAAAAAACAAATGCACTGACCTTCGAAAAGTGAAACAATAGCATCGTCATTCATGAAGGATTTGCACCACGTAACCACTTGCTCACACGTCCAGTTCATTTTGATAAAAAAGAATAACGATCTGAAAAAAGTGCAAATAGATAGAACCAACGCACGCTGGTGTCCTAAGTTTTATATAAATTCATATAAATGTAAATGATGCATATAACATCATGCGGAGAATAGTTGCACCAGATGACATATTCATCGCTCGATATAACGCCAAATTAAGCTAAATCGGATCTAAATCTTTTCAGCTCCTTTTCTCTAAGAAGTAGCTCAATTTCTTCACTAAAATAAATCAGCAGCATTTAACATCTTTCACTTGCAACCTCATTCGTCTGTGTATGTATATATACATGAATGATTCTCGCCAATTCCTTTCTTTTCACATATACTACAATCCTATTTGAATCTATGCTTATGACGTCATGGAGCTATACATAATTTTAAATAACAGATGGTGCTAATCATTCACTCGAATGACTCACATTTTCTCGCATGATAATATGCGTACACTTTCATGAGAAAGCAATCGTGTTCGCGACAAGACTCTTTTTTAAACAGATTCTCAGCGGTAATCAGATCATTGATAGTCTTGCTTACCTATATTATTTTTCAAAACCTCGAGTATTATCTGTGTGCGTTATCTAGAAGAAATACAAGTAAATGAACATTTATGAAAATAATACTGAAAATAAAATTAAAAGGTAAACAATATAAATGCAGATACATCGATTGTTCTATGAACGGAATTGATAACTATATAGTTCATAAGAGTAACCATGATAATCTAGCACTCCAGATCGTTCTACACTTGATTGTGTTTAGAGAAAGTTTTTAACTCGAACCGTGCATCACTCATCCCTCGACAGTATTTGCAAATACCCTTCGACATCATCCGTGCATCACTCATCCCTCAGCCGTATTTGCAGATACCCCTCGATGCGATCCGTGCATCACTCATCCCTCGACCGTATATGCAAATATCCTTGAATGAGAACCGTGTTTTATTGTATCCTCTTTGGTATCTCAGCGAACGGTTTTCCAACGAAATATAGTACAAAAACCCTCCATAATTTAAAAAACGGCGCACTTCAGAAACCCATTACCGCGTAAATGCTTTTTTCGTATATGTGATGGCTATAAACTCTTGCAAGATTTATGTAAGGTCGCGGAAAAGGCAAGGCTTTTGTCTGATACTGTTTTTTTTACAGTGTAGGTGGATCGAACTATGAAATAGTGAATAAAGAAATATCAGCACCAAGAGAATGTACTTTAGCAAAACGCAATGCATCATTGTCCTCGATAATAATAAATACATTGCCGTCGATAGTTCATGAATCGGTCCCTGTAATTACGTGAGTTAAAGTTGACATAATACTTGATTTTTTGCCAAACTGATAGATATAAAGATTATCAGACTGTGAAGTACGACGAAAAGACATAAAGTCATTAATGTCTGCATCAAACTGATGTAAATCACATATTTCAGGTATACGATCTAAAAAGCTAAGATCGCTGTTAAAAATTATTTAAGAAAAGCGATACTCTGAGACGATAATTGGTCCCGTCGTAACTTTAGAAGATTCTTCAGTGAGAGTCTGCCATAGAGGACCCCAACGACGCCGCGGAAAAAATTATTTTCGCGATTTTATTTTCAAAAATGAAAGGCCTGATTGAACCATAGTTAAATCCAAAATATTAGATCATTTGGACTTACCTATGAAAAATGTGAGCAAAAACACGTTTAATGGGTAATATTTTATGCTCAAAAATTGACGATAACTCACGATTGCATTGGCCGTTTCAGACCGGGGGACGTCTCATTCCAGAGAGAATTATATAGGACATAAACCTGACTAATCAAAGTCTTTATATATACAGTTTTGAAAATGCTATAGGTCAAGAATCCCCTAGAACTCTCAATTTGGTGTACTGCTAATTATCAGTGTTTTCAACTTTTTTCGCACTGTGATAACGAATCCATGGTGAATTTTTTACAGGAGATACGTGACATGGAGACGCATCTTTTCTTGTAAGATCATTCCAGTCGGAAACACTGGGAAGTGCGACTTGGTATGAGCGACATTGTAACTGACCGACAAAATCGGGGTCAGAAAAACGTGTAAATAGCATGACAAATATCTCAGATACCGAAATAGACTTCAGATTCGGAATCAGCACGAAAAGCTACACTAGGGAGTGTATTTTAAAATATGATTTTTCATTCCCTCGACTGAAAGGAGGACTATGTCGAAAAAAAGTGGTCAAAAAACGGAAATTCGTTTGTGTGTGTGTGTGTGTGTCTGTCGCAAGTCAAAGGTCAAAGGTCAAAAAAGAATTTTCTCCAAAAATGCTAAGAACTTCATAAAGCATGGTTGCGGGGGGGGGCTGTTGACGGTGGATGTTCGTTGGAGAAAGTATCGAGGTTAACTGTGATAGCGAAGGCCGTCTGAGCGCTCGAAGATAATTATCCACACTTGGTATAAATTTATGGGTGTTGCAGTGGCTGCAAGGAATCTATGTAGTCAATCAGTAGCGATGCAGGCTTTGAAAAGATTGATATCAACCTCGATGGTGGATCAGAGTGAAAGGAAGGGTGAATGAGAAGATATAATCCATAGTCTGACGTGTTAAAGTGGCAAGAATGAAGTCTATAAATGAACGACTGGAATGGAGAATAAATATCAGAGTAAGAGAAAATTAATCGAACTCCTGTTGCAGAAACCAGATTCAGTAACGCCTTTGCGTACAAAACTGCAACTGAAGCAACCGCGTCGTGCAGTGGGAGAACGAAAAGATGAGGAGCGCAAGTGTAGAAATTTTGAGCATGTTGCTTTTTTTACCCAGTACAGTTTCTCTGTATGTCATACGCTCGCCATAGATATTTCGTATTTGTCATCGGATACCCATGCTAATGGCATATACTGAAAACGCCTATATACCTTCACCAGAACTGCTGCTCCAAACAAAATCTCAACTATCGCTCGGAGAGTTCTTTAAGATCATTCCGTATCACACCCGCAGGTCTTCACAGTTCCAATCGCTCGACAGTATAAACGAGTATTATCTGTATATTCAGGAAAAGCCCTGTCCTATACAACCACTGCCCACTATGCAGGCCGTCATCTGACACCAATGCATGAGAAATAGCACAGGTCTTGATTCGCATGGAACCAAACGGTCACTCATCGCTTCTACCACACCACCTTAGACAAAGACTTGCATCCAAAAAATACGCTCAAGATAATTGGGAAAAACCAAAACTTCTTCGAATCTCAAAGTGAATGCAATTCGACAACACGCAAGCAGATTCATACATATACACCACCAAAACTAAATCTTCATTCCTATCCAGAGTAAAAATACCGATCCTCCCAGTTCCCCGCTACCCAATTCCATGAGCACAGCACATTCTTATTCAACGTTGAAATGGACCTTCTTTCACTTCGCAAACCACGTAATAGCCAGAATCATGAGGCTCAATATTCAAACTACATTCCCCTTATATATATATATAAACCTTCCACTTCAATCCTTCCCATGAACAACAAAATTCGACTTTGCCATCAAATTCTCACCTTCCCTGCACATATACGCATGTCGACCAAATCTAGCAACATACCCGTGAGCCATTCTCTGTCTGAAAACATAACTTCTCACCATCACATCTCCTCCCTCACTACGAAACACAATCTCTCTTTCACAAAAAACTACGAACGATATGTACAACCGATCGTAAAAGTGACTTCTCACTCAAGGTCAACACCACCAATCAACACATATACAACTGCGCATATCTCGGAACATGGAGGAGAGCGTTTCTGCTTTTCACAATATGAATTTGAACCATCCAAATACAGATTCTGACTCGGAACGAGCACCTCCATTTGATGGAAAAACACCCGAAACGATATCTACGATGCTCACGAACTCCGGATCCGAAATCGGAATTTTCATTTCCTCTGTAGCCACACGCGTGTGCATTGTATGTGTGAACATGGAGGAGAACGTTCCTTCGTGTGAGGATATCTGTGTATAGGTGAAAATGTTGAATGCGATTTCGAATTAAGTGCTCTGTGTGATGGTATAATTTTGGATGGATGATTTTAGGATATAGTAATAGATAGGATAAGAGAAAATTTCATTGTTGATATTCGCTACATCTTATGGGTTTTTCATTTGGTGTGATCCGTACATACACTTTAGTGTGTGTATTTGGTCTTGGAACGTGAGTTAGATGGAGGTGGATAATTAGTTAGGATGAATATACTTGTGAAGGTGAAGACGAAACGTGTAATAATGGTCGGTCTGATCCTGACCGTATGAGATGGAAGCACATGATCTGTGCACGTATTGTGCTTTCAGTTGGACGTGTTGAAACTAATTTCATTCATTTATTGTTCCGGTTTGGTGAAGCTGGTTGCTCTTCTCTCTGTCGGAAGTCACTCGGTATTCGTGTTGAAACGTCCTCTCTGAAATTAAAAAGTGTAATACTGATTTGGATAAATTCCGTTCATTATAATGTAAGTTTTCAAAGTTGAGAAATTATGCGATTGACGAAATTAGTGGAGATGAATTCGAGGTTTAGATAGAATGTAGCATTCTTTTTCTAATTGATTTACTTTTCGTTTTGATTTAGTATGGGCCCATATGTTTCGAAAGTCTCAAGCTATGATACGCAAATGATTACATACAATTTGTGTGATGCGGCTAAATTGCTTGAACAGATAACAGCTGTGATCAATGAAAAAGCTCGCAATGGAGTTCATAAACTTGTGAGCATACTCGCTGTTCGCAATACAGTTATGCTCATTAATATGTTACTGCTTTTACTAATGATTGTTGCTATCGTTATCTGGTGTTTATTTCAGCATTGTCGAACTACAGCTGTAGAGATAGGCGTCGTAGACGAACCACCGGCTTATTCGATCGATACTCCAGCATCGGCTAAAAAGTCTTCAGAAAAAAATAAAGATGGCTATAAAGTCTAATATCCTCGATGACATCGCGTCAAATGACATTTTTCTCTTGTTTGTGCATGCATTTCAATGGATTCATAGTTAGATTGTAGCCAGATGTAGTGAGTATTGTTTCATTCCCTTGACTGAAAGAAGGGTCATGTCGGGAAAAGTGGTCCAAAAATCGAAATTTGTTTGTGAGTATGTCTGTCGCAGATCAAAGGTGAAAGGCCAAATTACATTTTTTTAAAATGCTCAAAACTTCATAAAACATGGTTTCGAAGGATGTTTTGACACTGAAAGTTGGTTGAGAGGGTGAGAACATGTGAGATAGGGTCGATGTTAAACGTACGTTGAGCCCTGAGGTCAACGGGGTACTTGTAATTTATGCAACCAGCACAACCACCGAACTTTCTGAAATATCATATCGACGTCTCCCACAACCACCCACAGCTTGATGATTTATGTTCAGAATCGGCCGCACTCATCCACTTTATACGAGATTTAACGAATATAAATGTTCAACAAACAGAAAAAAATTA